TATGATTCTATACCTAAACGGCGCGCAATAAACCACTTTGAAATCAAAAATTTAGCCCAACTTCTTTTAAATAAATTTGCACATACAATATATGCAAAACGGGTAAATGCAAAACTCTGTTAAAATCAACCATTTCTAAAAGAAGTACAAAATGGAAAACGTCGCGCGTTTATATGCAAATTTAGATAAAACATAAAAAAGATAAAAAAAACGTTGTAGATAGAAAATTCTACTACTAATGTTAGATAAAAAAAGTTTTAATTTTCTACTTCTGACATCCTTAAAAATTTTTATTACAAACTGTCATATTATGAACTGACAAATTGTTAAACGTCAAATTATGTATCGATTGTTTTTTTATATGTTATCTAACGAGTTTTGAATAAAAACGATATATGTAATATACGTATTTGGAATAAGTGGACAATTGGATATACACGAATGCTTTATAAATGAAAATCTCGGTTAAATGCAACCAATTTTCGTAAAAATCAGTGTACACATTCTCTCTATATATACGCCTTCTTTTATTGAATTCTCCACAAAAATGCAAAAAATAATTTTTTATCCTTAACTTTGAATGAAAAAAAGCACTTTATGTTAAAATCATCGTAATATATACAAAACCAATTATATTATGTATAATACTTGATTATCTTCAATTATCACGTAATTTTGCAAATAACTTTTAATATCTCTGGTAAACCATTTTGGAGAATTATTGTTTGTATTATAATTTGTTAATATTAAACATTTACATATATGTATTCATCCTAGAAAAATTATATTTTCAAGGAAACTTTTTAAATATGTATGTGTGTATAAGTGCATGGCAATTCAAAAAGGGAAGTTAAAAAAAATTTATAATTCAAAAATTAAAAAAAAATGAAACATTTCTCTAATACGGGATTGTAATAAACAACTGCTATACAACTATTGTTACCATACAGTATTTCTAATTTTTTTTAAATATGACTGATGTTTCCGATTTTATATAATAAAGAAAAAAACCGTTAGTAATATAATTTAAGTAAAACAAAAACAAAACGGTTCTTCTTGGTACCTTAATATTAATTTTTTTTTTGTTTGAACTTTTCATATTTAGTTGGTTCCCTTTTCATTCAGGCATAAAACAATATGTAATTCTAGGTACCACTAAATTTTCTATAGTTTTTGAACTTTCTGGTTTTACAATAATCAAATTTCAAAAATTATAATATATGTGTGTACATATATTGTGTACAAATAACAAATCAGAACACATAGATATTTTTATAGATAAGCGTGTATTAAATTGGCCTTACCGTTTGTAACGATAAGAAATAATGCTCTGAGATATAGACTCAAGTATATGTTTTTGATCAACGTCGTATTCTGAATTGATTTAGCTATGTCTATCCGTCCGACCGCTCGAACAATAATTCAAAAACTAGTTGAACTAAGTTTTCCAAATTTTCACCAATGATTTATTATGGTGAATGTCAGAACCCTATTTAAATTTGATATGATTGGGGTACTGGTTCGTGTATTACCATACAACTTCATAAGCTGCTTGTTCATAACTTAAAAACTATTGAAGCTACAAAGCTGAAATTTGGAACAAACGAACTTGGTAATTGTATAGATTTATATGTTAATTACATACTATATATGTATAAAATAGCACTATACATAAAAAGTAAGAGGTTGTTTGAAATTGTATGCTAATTATCTCCGACATTTAAAATTATTTATTCGTACGGGTATCACAGAGTAGACACGGTCAACTATATCTATTCTCGTTTTACTTGTTTTGAAAACTTTTGGAAATGTAAAATTTTTTTCACATTTTCCTTGTTTTTAAATAAAACCTATGACCTTTAATATAATATTATACTTATACAATAAATTATAATTGATCAATAATACAAAGTTGCTAATTTTTCAGTATTTTATAAATTTCAAAAAATTTCTGAATTGTTTCTGTCGGAAATTATTATAAATATAAAGGAAATTAAAAAAAATCTCTTCAATCTCGAAATTCAAAAACAAAATGCTAAAAATATTAAATCTAATAAAATAGCATATTTTCGTAATTAAATATGATTTATAAAATCGAAAATTTAAAACTCATTTTATTTTCGCCTCCGTTCATATAATATGTAGTATTTGTTTTCGAAATTTTATAGCCTCGTAAATATGCCTAAGTTGCATCAAATAAACTATCAAATGAACATCATGCTGACGAGCTCTATTTGTTGGAGCTCCAGAGTGGCTGTGTTGGTGCAGTTTGCTTTCATAACTTTAGTTTTATCTATGTTTATTTTCAGACCTGCATGCCTGGCAAGTTTTTTAAAGGTATTTTAATTTGATCTGCACGGAACTGATCCGTGAGGTGTCATTCGCAAGAATCTTGTTATAGGTAATAGTTAAGATTTCAGATTGTTCCCTTCCTCTTTAAGCAGGCGACTTGTAGTATGTTGTCTAGCACGATCTAGCAAAAAACAGAGGTGAAAGTGATCAACCCTGTTTTACTCCTTATTGGGAAGTAAATGACTTGCTCATTTTTCCTTACAGTCCTTGAAGCATATGGATTATTTTGTCCTGGATTCCTCCGTCTTTTAGCGCTTTCTATATTGTAACGCACTTAATTGTATCGAAAGTCGATGAAGAACATGTATAGCGGTGTTCTGTACTCTATTGGTTGTTCGATTATTATTCGAAGAGTGTTTCGCTAGATCAGCACAACTCCCATGCGGGCGGAGCCCAGCCTGTTCTTAACGTATATTATCTTCTAATTCAAGCAAAACTTGTTTTAAAATGTTCGTCTGTATTGTTTTTAACTGTTTTGCGGTATCTTTATATTATTATTTTATGTTCGATTGAGAAATCATTGTAAGTGGTAGTACGAATTAATTGTTTTATAATAGTCCGGGATGTTTGTGTGATAAATATAAACTGATTGTAACTACGCTGCTAATTTTTAACTGTTCACACTAATCATTAAAAACGGCTGCTACAATTTAACCACAGTACTCCCAAAATATACTATGGGTAAAAATTTATTAATATTGCTGCATAACATGTTATTTTTTTTTATTCGCAAGAAATATATAAATTTATGTGTATCGACTATAAAATTTCGGTCAATTTGAATTTCGAATAATGTATTAATTTTTATATTATATTTTGTTGCAAAATCAAAAGTATATGCTTAGCATTCTTAAATAATAAAAAAACAATGATGAAAAAGAAAAAAACAGTAGCCCATCAAAATTAGATTATAAGCATAAGAGGATTTCTAATTTTTTTTCTTATTTCCCATATATTTTTTTTTTACTTCAATAAAAAATAATTTGCAGCTGCATTCAACTTTGGAAATTATATTGTAACTCATTTTGATGGCTCTTTTTTTGTTGGTTAGTTTTTTTTTTTTAAATTTTGCTTTCTTGATTTCATTTTCTTTTCACTTTTTATATTTTACATTTCTTATTCTTTTCATACTATATTATTTGCATAAATCATAAAACGATTATTATATGTTTTCGATATATTACAAGCTACTGTCAGCAACTTCTTGAATTTTCTATTCAACGACCGCATCTATACAAGAGTTTAAAAAAAACGAAAATAATATTTATCTCACACTCCATAATTCTGCTGGATCATGATGAATATAATATACCGTATAATATACGAGATTAAAAAAATATATACAAAGAGTTATACATGCATACACATACATATGTTTATAAAATATACTATGTCAGATATAAAGAATAAAATATTTGGTTTATACATCATAAAAATATACTCAAAAAATAATCATATAAAAAATGATGGGGCTACAGGGAAAAGAAAAACAGTCCAACATTATATAAAGAATAAAATAATATAAAATATTGAATCCCGAAAAAATGAAAAAAAAATAACACAAAATTAAGAATTCAATATAAAAATGTTAAAAAAAAAGATTTAAAACTAATATTATAAGAAAAAATTTAAGAAAGATTGAATATACGAAAAAATACAACACTGGTTAACTTTTTTGTACAATGCAATAAATTTTTTTTTACATATACAAATACATAGGTACATAAAATATGTTGGTAAATTATTGTTTATTTTCTGTTACACACTGTAAGTTGGTTAATGTTTTTTAATAATTTAAAAAGTAAAAATGAAAAACAAAAAAAAGGCTAAAAACACTGACAAAAGCAGAATAAATAATAAATATTATGAGCCATTTATCTTATTAAAAACAACAAAACAAAAAGTGCTATTTCTCAAATACAGAGGTTTAAAAGTGTTCGATTGAATTTAATTTTAATTAAAATAAAACAAAAAAAATTTTATATTTCCTATGACTGAATAATTTACTTATAAATTTTCTTGCATATTTTTAGTAGAAAAAATGCAATTATTTTGTTCAATCAATTATATCTAGAAAGAATTTAGATTTGATATTCGAAATGCAGGAATACACAGGTTTATTACAGCCATTGAGATACAAATCTCATCAAAAATATTTTCTTTCCGTTTTTTTAACATGGCCAAATCAATTTTTATTTAAAGCACGTTTAAAACATTTAAAATTTTGTATACAATACGATATCGAAAAAATAAAAAAAAATTTGTCTCTCTTTTTTATTTCTAATTTTTCAATTAAAATTTTAAACTTTACTTTCTAATAATTTTTACTAATCATCAAATCTAAAGTTGGAAAAATTATTAATGAGGTCCAACAAAACTCTTACATTAAAATTTGGTTATAGTAATTGTTCTCAGATTTACTAATAGCCTATGGTATCGTAAAAAATATTTTTCAAATATCATTTAAATAATTTCTGTACACCCTATATTTAATATTTAAGATATAAAATCCGAGAAAAAACAAAAACATTGTTTTTTCTCTTTTCTTTTCTTAAATTAACAAAAACTCTTATATTTCTTTTAAATAATATTAACAAAAATTTGATTTTAATTTTATATTTTTCTTTATTTCGTTTATTACAGGCTAAACTTATGGAAAACTCTCACGCATGGTTGGGAGCATCGACATCTTCTATAGCTGGTAAGTGCTTGTAATTATCCAAAAAAAAAAATAAAAATCTACAAGAAAAGTAAAAAAAAGTACCAGAAATCTAAGGTGATTTGTACTTTTTGCTTTTTATTTCTCATTAATATAATGATAAATATTAATATATATGTATGTACGTATACAATAGTATTTATGCATATGCATGTTTGTAAATTTCATACATACATACTATATGTAATGTAAATCTTAAAATTTAATATAAATTCCCATTCCAACATCATTATTTAAAGTTAATAAGAGAAAGAACAAAACACATCATCACCTTATTATTTTGTTAATCTTAATTTTCGAAAGTTATTTAATAATTTTTTAAATGTTCTGCGAAAATAATATCGTACGTGCATGTGTATGTTGTACATATGTATGTATTTATATGAATTACATGAGAACTGAAAATTTAAAAATGAGTACCTAGTTTTGTATACTCCCTGTCTTTGTGCATAAAATATATTAAATATTGAGAGAACTAGATTGATTTTTAAGGAAACAAAAAGAGACACACACCCTTGTAAAAGCATATACGTCATATACATTAAATATGGGCGCCGACTGTAAATATACTATAATTTTCGATTAAATCTTGTAACAATTAAAAAACAAAAATTTCTATCTTTTGTTTTATAATTCCAATGATAGTTAAATTTATTTAACATTTTTATAGACATACACATACATATACATTATAAGTTTAAAGATGAAAATCATTCGAAATAAAATCAAGCATAAATGATACAGGTTATATACATTGTCAAATAAACAAAATACAGGGTGAGAACATATTAACGGTTAACTACTTGTTAAAGAGTCTCTTGGAATCTTCTTAATTTTCAATGTAATTCATCAGACAAAATCAAATTTAATAAAATGAAAAATAAAGATATAACATTAAGAAAACTACTAATTTTTAGATTTTTTTTAAGATACAAGTCAAATCCTAATGTATTGTACGTACAAATGATGATAATTTCCATAAGTAGAAAATTCTAACAGGTATTATTGTTATTTTTATGAGAAGGAACTTTTTTAGGCAAATTTAGTTTTGAAGTTTGAAGTCTCAGCTTTTATGGATTTTCGTCGTGGACCTACTGGAATCCATGAAAGGTGTCACTTATTTTTTTCAGAATTGAATTTATTATAGAGGGTTATATATACATAAAAGTTATTAATTTTAATTATTACATACATATATTGAGATTACTTAGAGAAATTTTTAGAGTAAAAATATAAGACATTTGTACAATTATGATTTATAATTATGGATCGGTGTGTTTTGTTTTCTTTTATTCATTATTTAATACACAATATTTTTTAAGTGCTCATATTAATTTACTATAATCTATCATATATGTTTGTACACACGCACAAGATTCTTTTTATTATAAGACACGATATATGTATAACAATCTTTTTATGAATATTTGATTTTAAATTATTTTTACTTTTATTAATGGACTCGAAATTATAGGTTTGTTAAACAAATTTTTTTCTTATTATTTTATAATTTTTACTTTTCAATTGTTAACACCCACTATAGTACTTAATATATGTACAATAAACTAATTACCCTAAAAAATCAGGACCATCCATTAGAAACACTTTTTTTTCTTGATCAAAAGAAAATACATAGATATGGAAAATATATAGCACATTTACATATACAAATTAATATTTTAATAATTCCGAAAATTGATTTTTATTGGCTTACCAAAATAAAAAACTAAAATAAAGAAAAAACATTCCTATTTTAAAATGAGTTTTAACTTTGTTGATTCTTTTTTCCTTAAAGAGTTCAGAAAAAATGGTGTTTTAGTTTCAACTTAAATGAAATAGATTAAAATCATTTGTAAAATCACATTAGAAGAGCAATCAGAAAAATATGATCGGAATTCTCAGAAAAAATTGAATCAAATTCGTCACTACTTTTGTACATTACAAAACATAAACCGATTGTCCTGTAATTGACTTATTTTTGGCTACAACTTGCGTCTTTAAAATGATACGCAGTTATCGTTACAATTTATGTAAAAATATATGTATTTTATTGATACAGAAGCAAGCAATTATGTATATATACATGTAAAAATCACATACAATATGCATATACATAAGAAATAATAAATGTTGTCAAATAAATAAAAATCAAATGTCAACAAAATAAATGCAATATTTAATTTATACTTTTTTTTATGAATAAAAATATATTAATGATATACATATGTACATATATACAAAGATTTACCAAAAAGGAAATATGTATATGCATGTTCGTGTACTTCGTATTCTTCTTATATGCTATCAATATAGGTTTATATATACACCTCCCAGTATTGAATTAAATTCCTTAATTTTTTTACCATTTTTTTTATATAAATATATATGTATATATGTATATTGTATAAATATTGTATTGTATACACAATAAATATATAGGCATGCAAAGGTAAATTTCCGAGCACAAAAAAAATTAATAATAAAATAAATAAATGAATAAGAAAATAATAAAAAAAAAATATTCTTAATTTTAAAGACCCAAAAACGAAAAACGGTCTCGCAATTTATCATTTATTTTCTTTTTTTTTATTTAAAATTAAAATAAAATATTTACATTGAGGCGAAATATAATAGCGCTTGGACGGTACACCAGCGTCCATAAGGTACATAATATTTATGTACTTACTGCACATACCTACATTTTTTATATGTACTTATGTATATTAATACATTATAATATATTTAATATATGTATACACGCACATCTATATATTTTATAAATATAAAAATATTTATATAATGACAAAGCTAAGAAGACAAATAATAATACCTATATGGAGAATAAGAAATTACGATAAAATTTAAAAATGAAAAAAAAATAAAAGAACGCGTTCGTAAATTGAATATTTACTTAATAAATATAAATAAATATTAAAAAAATAAAGAAAAGAATTATTTTTAAATAAAAAAATATTATGCAGATATATTATACTTATATTATATCCAAGGCATTCAAGGAAAACTAACGTATATAATTAAGGCAGAAGTGATAGCACGTCAAGTTTTAAGAGTAAAACCCATTTTTAGGAAAAACTGGAACATTACAACAGTTGTTTTAAACACATTTGAAAAAATGGGAATGTTTATTATCTGCTTATTCTTGAACTAATAATTGAAAGGGTTATGTTAAGAAGAATCGGGAAAATTTTGAAAATCTTTAATGATGGTTTGTGACTAAGGTGGAGGAGAAAAGGCTGTTGTTTTTTTTTAATATATAAATAATAAATTGTATTTAAAGCAATTAATATAACAACGATTTCATCTTTACTTGTCTAAAAAAACTTTCAATCATATTTAATAAATATTTTTTATATTGAAATTTAACTTTATAGGTTTTTGAAATCATAGTATGTGCGTTTTTCCAAAATATAATAAGATAACGAGTGTTTTGAGGGGCTTTTTTCTCTTTTTAATTTAACTATCTTATATAAAATTTTAAGAACTGTAGTAAAGTTTTCTAGATGATCGCAGATTTAAATTATCTGTATATACTTATACAGATAATTATATTTTGTGTTGGCTTACGCAGTTTTTACTTACTGCCACAGACATACACTTGCATACAATATATATATATTTATAAAGATTCTATAATATACATTAGTAGAATATGAGAGTTTTAAACATACGTTTTTTTTTTATTAATATTTTCATTTTAATTTATTTTCTTTCCGTTTAAAATGTAAGTATATATTTGCGCGCAATACGATGATGGTCTTTCGAGTAAATATTAAATCTCGCAGTATAAAACAATCTTCTGTTTATTATACTCGTAATATGTACATTTTTCTTTTAGTTATTTATATTTAAAGAAACGAAACAAAAAATGTAAAAAATATACCTACGTAAATATTGTATATTTGTATATATTAATATTAAAACCATACCATATTTTACCATATTTTTCTATACTTATACATACATTTATAGTTATATATACATACATAGGTACATACATATTTCGTTGTCTTTCTTTTTCAAACTTTTATTCAAATATTTTATATATAGAGTTCAGAAAACTTTATATAAATTTTGATTAAAAGATGCCGCCACCTTTCGTATTTTGAAATAAAAACAAATATTAAAAATAATAAATAATGTGTAATGAATTAAAAGGAAAAAAAAGTATAATAAATGTAAAAAAAAAATTATGAATAATAAAAATATTTTATTAAGAAAAAAAAAGACATAAAACAAAAAAGAAATTCTTAAGTTCATACATATGTACATATATATGCATATGTATGTATATGTACTTGTACAAAAAATTACTTAATATTTTCTTAAACAATTTCAAAAACAAAAAATAAAATTAAATTTATCAATTTTATGTTGAATTACATAAATTATGTATAATTTCTTCATTTATGATTATATACGTGAGTATGTATGGATTTAATTTTTAAAAGAATTACGCCTAGGGTCTAAAAAAGGACTTTTAAACTTCATGTGCTTCAGAGCTCAATAATTTTGCTGACACGGAAATTCAACAGATTCTGTTAATATTATATTATAAAAAAATTAAAAATACATTTTAGAAAACGATTTTTCAAATACACGTACATATTCTTACATACCTACATAACTTAGTCAATGCACACACATGTTTTTAATACACACTTTTCAATATCCAATTTATTATTATATCTATACGAACCTCTAAATATAAGTAATAATTTCTTTAAAAAATTATTCGTACATACATATGTATTTATGAATATAAAATAATTTATATAATATTAGAAAATATATACATATACATTTTTTTAATCTTTTATTAAAACTTACAAAAAAAAATTTAATTTTCTTATTAAAAAATACCCGTGTAACAAAATTTTGTATTACAACTGAATTTTATTGAAAAATTTATACAAAACAAATATTCAATAAATGTGTATATGTATATGTATGTAATTCTACAAACCTTGAATTTTAATATGCACTTTTTGATAATGTACATTTATATATTAAATTCTTGAAGATATTAAGCAATTACTAAGAAAAATCCATAAAATTAATCATATTTAATTCTTACATAATATAAGTACATATTGAGGTGCAAGCGTTTTCATCTAAATATTTTATAGTAATAATTATTGTTAAACGGGTAAAATATATGAACAGACAAATTTGTACATTCATACATACATATGTGTATGCAACAAAAATATGAACTATGAAAATGAAGAAATAAAAGAAAATTAATTTTTTTTTGTTCAAATTTTGTTTAATTTCATGGAATGACGAAAAAAAAAAATTATTGTTTGTTTACATGAGTGTTAACAAGATTTTTTATTTATCATTTTTATTAAAAAAAAAAAAATTATAATTTTCTTAAGTTAATTTTTTTAATTTTCAAAAGAATTTAAAAAAAAATAGAAAAGCAATAATTTTTTTTTAACCCTACCTTATAGATACAAAAATAAACAATAAAATAAAAATTATTTTATAGTACTAAACATATATAAATACAAAAATACGTAAATACTCATGTACATACAAAGATTTGTATATGAAGACATTATATTAATACAAACCATATTTTTAATATAGTCGGGATGTACATATGTGTGTGTATGTATGTTAAATGTTCTCCTTCTTCACTTCGCCATTTAAATGAAAAAAAAACATTTACCCAAAAATTTAAAACAAAAAAATTTTAAAAGTTAATTAACAAAATTTTTGCTTTCCACTCGAACTCTTTTTTATAAACCTTTAAATAATTTAGAAATGTACATACATGCATACATTTTTTTTTGTTGTTAATAGTATTGAGTTCAATTAAATTTCGATCACTCCCATATGAAAATTTTTATTCGAATTGAAAAAATCGAATTTGTAATAAATTTAAATAGTTTTTTTTTAAATTTTTGCCTTAACTAAGTAAAGTTGCCTTTGTACATACCTTAACATGTTCTGTAATAATAAATAATACATACATACACACTATTAAAATTATAAATTACAAAAATTTAAAAAAAATCTTATTGCTCAAAATACGTACATGCATATATATATTTCATCCCTATAGCAAAATAACATAATAATTAATTATAAAGTTTAAATACGTAAAATTTTTTTTTATTATTAAAAACAAGCAGACAGTTATCAATACCAATTGCAGTCAATGTGGCAAAAATGTTGGAATACAAATCAAAATTTAATGCATCATTTACGATTCCGAGAACGAGGTCCTTTAAAATCATGGAGACCTGAAACTATGGCCGAAGCTATATTTAGTGTTTTAAAAGAAGGCTTATCATTATCGCAAGCTGCAAGAAAATACGACATTCCTTATCCAACATTTGTATTATATGCAAATCGAGTTCATAATATGTTAGGGCCTTCTATTGATGGCGGAACTGATTTACGACCAAAAGGACGCGGACGACCCCAAAGAATTTTATTGGGTATATGGCCAGATGATCACATTAAAGGTGTTATTAAAACAGTAGTTTTTCGTGATGCAAAAGAATTAAAAGAAGAATCAATGCATTTACAATATGGTAGACATTCGGTAAGTAATTTTTTAAATACTAAAAAAAATAAATAAAAAACAATAATTTAAATTTAAGTGCTCTATTTTGATTTTTGTTTTTCTTTTTTAAACTTTTTGTAGCCTGTATTTCCATTCCAAGAGGGACCTTTAGGATATCCTGGTGGTCCATGTGCAAATGGTATGCCTCCTCAAGGTTCCGATTCAATGAGCCCAGAAGCAACCGCTGCAGCTGTTGCTGCTGTTGCACATAATTTAAGACAACAAATGCAAATGGCAGCCGCAGCACATCATCCTGATTCACCTGGAAGTTTATTTAATCTTCCATCACATTTACAAGTAAATCATCCGTCAATTAGTGGAGCAGGTACTCCATTACCAAAATCTAATTCACCAACTTCAAGTAATGAACGTAATAATAGTAGAGAAAGTAATAATAGTAATAACAATGGAAATAACAATAACAACAACAATAATAATAATCATAATAGTGGGAATACAACTGGAATACATAATTCCAACACATCTTCACAAAGGCATTCATCACATCAATCAATGCTTCCAAATCCAAATACATTAGCTAGCCTTGCTGGTTTACCAGGATTACATATGATACCTGGTTTAAGCAATACACAAATTAGTCGTGATTCAAATTTAGATAGTAATAACACACGGGGTAATAATAGTGGTGGCAATAGTAATAATAATAGTCATTCAATTAGTATTTATTCAAATGCAGGTTCTGGTAATAATGATAATACAAATAATGGTAATAATTCAACAAAAAATCTAAATCAACATTCATCTGATATGTCTAGCCATCATCATCAGCATCATCATCAACATCATCAACATCATCATAAGGAAATTCCAAGAAATGATTCTCCAATGGAGTTAGCACATGATTTACGTATGAGTAGTCCAGATAATAGTCCACTTAATTCTCATTTACAAATTGCATTGGAACCATCAGTTAATTTATCTGTAGGCGTTAGTGGTATGAGATACAAATCATCAAGGGGATATTCATCATCTCCTCATTCTGATCATCATTTATTTCAAGATGATATTGCTGAATTAGTTTCGGCTGGTAATAATAACAATAATAGTAATAATAATAACAATAACAACAATAGCAGTAATACCGGTCGTAATTGTCCACCGAATTTTAAAGAGCCTTCATCTAGTATCAAAATTGAACCAATGACTGAATGTCGAAGTGAATAAAGATTATGTAATAATAACTTTCATTTAAAATAAACACCGAGCTATATAATATACATACCTAGTACATTAATGAAAACCATATTTGCTACGCATTCAAAATACCAAAAAAAAAATTTAAAAATAAATAATTAATGAAATGAAAAAAAAATAATTAAAAATTTCTTTTTATTTTGTTAAGTTATAAACTTATCTATGTATAATTATAAATCAGTATATGTACATTAATTATGTAATTATAATTTTTTCTTTGTTTTTACTGTAAAACAAAAATGCAATATACTTAATATAACAAGAATATTAATATACATATATATATACATACATATATATATATATATATATATATATATATATATAGATATATACGTTACGTATTTATATAAATTTACATTATATATTTAAGTAAATTAAAATTACTCAAAAAAAATTTAAAAAAAAAAACAAAAAAAAAACAAAAATATTAAAAAAAATTATGCGCAGCAAAAATCACCTTAAAACTGTTTTTGCTTTAAATTTATAGTAGATTTCTAAAATTTAAAAATACAAAAAAATTACCTATTATAAATTTTAATTGTGCAATAGAATTAAAAATTAATAAGAAAAAATAAGAAAAAAAGAATAAAAAATTATAAAATCCATAAAAAATTAGCATACATAAAAATAAACTACAACTAAATTAAATAAAGGAAACTTGAATCTTTTTCGAATTCATTTTATATTAAATTATAAATTTGTTACGTAAAAATTAGATCAAATATGAATCCGAGCGGGTGATTGCATTTTGTAGAATAAATAGAAAAAAAAACACTAAATCACATAGAATTTTAAATGATTTTTTACGTATTAACCCCTAAGTATTGTTTATATTAATGCAAATGTAGTTTAAAATTCCAAAATAAGATTTGATTTACAACTGCGTTTTCAAAAATTGAATTCTATTGATGATCCTGGCAAGTTGAAAGGCGAAGCAAAAAAGGTTGAAATTAAAAAGAAAAATTTTTTACTAAAGTTCTTTAAAAAAATTTTAGATATGTAGGTAAATCACTTGCAATTCATGATTCGGAATATAAATATTATAATAGCTCCATATCCTATAAATTTTTTTGAACATATAGTTAGCAACGGAAAGATTCAAAAAACCTTATTTAATAAAAATTTTTTTAGTAATTAAATTAAATAACTATTATATATTTGAAAATTTATTTTAAGATTAAAAATGTAAAATATAATTTAAATATGAAATCAGTTTTTTTAATTATATATTTTATAAATTATTACTAGTGCAAAATTTTCTTGCTAATTGTGCACAACAAAAAATTTCATTTTTTTATTGTTCTTTTGTTCTTTTTGTTTTAAATAAAAAATTTAATAAAAAAAAAAAACTGCTAAGCTAAAAACATTTTATTTGCAACTTTTACAATTTTATATTTTAATTAAAATAAACCCCTATAATAAATATAAAGTTTCAAAATTGTGTGCGTGGCATAAATTTGAAAAATACAAAAATTGTACAAATTTAAATAAAAAATGTAAAATTTTTTTATAAAATAAAAACTTAAAATTAAAATTACAATGAAAAAAATATTAAACCAAAATTAAAATGTAAATTTTTATGCAAAATTAAACTTAAAAAAATAATTAAAAAAAAGGAAAATAAAAAAATACTTTAATTTGAAACGATAAAAAATTATTTTAGAAAATTTTCGACACAACCTCCAAGGTAGTTGTTGTCTTTTTAAAAAAAAAAACAATTTCTAGTTTTTTTTTATATTAGGAAAGAAAAATTAAATGTTTCGGATACTATTTATAGACAAAATTTATATAATTGAAAAAAAAAAGAAAGAAATGTAAATATATTTTTATTAATAAAGAAATATAAAAAAAAGATTCTAATAATATATTAAAAATTAATTTGATATATGTATAATGGGAAAAAAATTTAGGACAAAAGTTTTATCAAAATTAACAAATTTACATGTAATTGCGTATTCTTTAATTCCTTATCAATACTTTTTTTATTTACAATTTTGCTTTTTTATTTAGTTGATTTGTTTATGTAATTAATTAAATTATTATAATTATACTAATTAATATTATGAGATTGGATAATAATTTTACAAATCAATAATATTTTATAATTTCATATATAATTAATTCATACATACGGTTATATCATTATACTTTCTTTTAAAAGCTAACAATGAGAATCTGTCAAAATTTACCAAAAATCAATACAAAATCTCCGAAATTGTAATTTTTCAGTATGACAATTTGAAAATTCTTAGATTAAGCCTAAAGTGTTTACATCAGTTTTTTCATTGTGCTTTTTAATAGAAAGCTTTTAATCTAGTAGCCTCAACTAACTTCTATACAATGAAAATTTTATTTTATTATATAAATTATTTTAATCATTGATAAAATACTTTTTTGCGTGATATAAAAAAATTCTTTCACTAAATATTTAATTAGAAATTTATAAAAACGAATTTGAAAACTTTCTAAATTTCAAATATTAATTTATTATAAATTTTATTTGAATAACATATAAAAGTTTTGAATAAATTTTGGAATGAAAATAAAAAAAAAAACGAGAAACATGTTATATAAAAATAAACAACGTGCCTTTCCACCTGCCCCTCCCTATTCATTTTATTAGAATACAAATTCTAAAAGCACTCTAATTAGAGTACATTATTATTACAAGAAAAATTAAGTGTAAAATTCATAATTGTGTTAATTTAAATAATTTTAACTGAATATCACAACTTTATTTCTCTATGTTTTATGTAATTTTTATTTGTTTTTTTTTTTTTTTTTTTTTACAAGCAATTATAAAAAATTAAGAATCGCATACTTGCTCTAAATTAAATATGAAAAAATATTATATTATGATATGCATATATTATATACATATTATATATTAAATCAATGTAAATTCAAATGAGGTTGTGTCTCAAAAATTTAAAATAAACAAGAAAAAAAAAATTTTTTAAAAAAAAAAAGATTCTGGAAAATTAAAATTGTTTTAAAAAAATTTTAGGCAAAATTTTTACTGTTTTAAAATTGATCTATATTGTTATTTATAAAAAAAATTATTAAAATTTTGGATAATTAAATATTAAATATAATTTAAAATGAATTTTTCGGCTCAACTTTGGAAATGTTTTTTTTTTTATTTTTAAGTATTTGATTTTAAATGGAGATCAAATATAATATAAGCATTTACCATAGCACACACGAAAAGTAATTTTATAATTTAATGCATTTAGCATAAATAATATTGCCAAAAAATAAAAAATATTGATATTTGAATTTAAATTGGAGATATTAAAAAAAAAATACAAGTTGTAAATCATTATTATATTACAATTTAAAATCAATTCCATATTATATTTTTAAAACACAATTCGATATTTTGTTTAAAATTAAAGTCATATAATATAATCAGAATTCATTTTCGTTTGAATTGCTTGTGAAATAAACATGTTCTCCTTTTTTTGAATATAACACATTTACGCTTTCTCCAATTATTTTTTTAAATTCTTGATTTGATTTAAAACTCATATACATATTTACTTTCCTCAATTTACTTTCATAATAATATCATTTTTAATTAAAAGTATGTTCTAAATATATTTAAAAAAAAAAACATTTAATATGAAAACGAAGTTATATGAAATATAACTGAATTCAAAACTTCAATAGTATTACTTTAGTTATACTTAGTTCAATAGTACGTACTTGCGTAGTCAGACTATAAATTCTAATTGCTGAATTATATAGTAAAATATTTCTTTCAAAGTTAGTAGAAAAAAGCAGGATGTTTTTATCAATGCTGCTAATATTTTTATAGACCAAATTTTTGCTCCCTGGCATTGAAAATTTATTTCTATTTATTAGAGCTTATACTTACATAAATAGTAGTTGTTGAATTATTTAGTGATACACTACTACTTTTTTAGTTCTTAAAAATATTTCTCATAAGATGTTTTGAAAATATTAAATAAAATATCAATATTCTTTCTAATTTATTTATCAATTTTCTTTTAATTTAAAATAATTCAATTTAAAAAAAATTAAAAAATTGATTGATTATATAAAATCTTATTGATAATAATAAAAAGGATTTTAATAAAATATTAAACTTAAAAATATTATACACATATTATATATACGCATTATAAATATATAAAATATAATATACCTATACATACATTAATAATTTAAGGAAATAATATTACTATATTAATATAAATCTTAAATTAAAGTATATTTATGTAAATATTTATCAAAAGAAAATCAACAGTGTCTAAGAATACAAAAAAATAAAAAAAATAAATACTATAGCATAACATTTAAAAAAAATTTATTTCATCTTCATTCAATGTAAAAAAAAAAATAATTTTTAATATAGAAATAGTACGCCCCTATTTGTTCCGTTTAATTAATTGATTTATTAATTTTTATTCTTGATTATATAGAATACATTTATTTTTGAGTTTAAAACATTTGTGTTAACAAATAAAAGAAACTTACAAAAATCTATAATTACAGTAAAAATTAAATGTATTTAAGCAAAAAAAAAACTTTTTAAAATAAGTGAAAATTAAGAAAAAATCCAAAAAAAAATATATATACATATAAAGATATATAAATATGCATATGTATAAACAAAAATAAATACATTTCATTACCATTGGTATTCGTGTAATATTTACATATAAAAAACAGCCAACAAAGAAGCAGAAATTTTAAAAATAAAATTTTAATTTTGGAGTTGAAATGTTGTTTTATTTCTAAAAAAAATCGCTTTATTGTTTTTCACTGAATAATTCTAAAGTGCCAAGTTTTCCAAACTAACTTTTATTAATGGATCAAATCCAAAGAACGGCCTCATTCCGCAAATTTATCAATTTAAAAATTTTCTCTATTTCTTTTTTCATATTTTAGACACTTCAAACTTAATTTATAATAAAAAGATATTGTACTTACTTACTTTTTTGTGTCATCCATAATTATCATCATCAATATATTAATAAATAACTTAATCTTTGAAACCGAATCGGGAATTTTAAATTTCAAACTCAAATTACAACACTAAAAAAATTATTAAAATCTCCTAACTTTTATCAAAAACTCGAATAAGAAAACTTTTAAACGGAAGACTTATAAACTTTGTTTTATAAAGCAAATTGATGTATGCTTGTCCAAAAATTCCTATGTTGCATATGTACATACACAAATTTGAATAAAAAAATTTTGGAACTTTACAAACATACCTATATCAGACTTTTGGTTATGTTAAGACATTATACATATAAAATCAATGTAATGCTAAATTCCAAAGAAGGCAACTGCGTTTAATAGTTTGCATAGTTTTTTTTAAATTTCATTTTCTAATCTAAATTTTTCAAAGAACAAAAAAAATTTGCATATACTATAAATATTGAATGTATATACATCTGCATAGAGTAGATATCCGACATTAAATGTATTTTTTGAGAAATGTAATTAAATAATTAAATAATTAAGCAAAACGAACTTGTAAATCATAATATTGTAAAGGAGGGATAATTATGTATATACATACCTATATTAAAACATTTTTTCTACATCTATTGACAACAAAAGTTTTATTATGAATGCATAATTTTTTTTCTTAAAGTTATAGCTTAAAAAAATGTTAAAGAAATATAGAAAAAATCGCCAATTATTATTAAATTATTTAAAAGACCCCAGTACTCTCTTGTCTACTAGGACCATGGATATCTTGATGTCTTTGCAATAAGGTAAGACATTGATTCAAGCATTGTGTACTAGCTGTAGATATAGCTTTTAACAATAGCAAATCTGGATCAGTTGGCGAAAAAGGACCTCCAAAATTTTCTATTGTACGAGCTAACGACGCGTTGCTGCAATAAACAAAAACTTTAAATATTAGTTTTATATGCATTTTCTCAAATAGGTACCATAATTCAGTTTGTTGTATATGTTGTCTTGCTACAACAAATGCATCAGAAGCAGCCAATAACTCTCGTGGAGGCAAAGATGTAGCATTTATATCTAAGGCTTGCGTGTGACTCTCCGTAATAGCTCTTAAACTATCTACCCATTCCTGTCTTGCACGTGCATCAGCAGCCCTTAATTTTAGTGTCTGTAGATTTGAGGAATTAGTTTTATTTATTTAGTAAAATTTACATATTTTACATCTCCCGAAGCACAGCTTATGGAAAATGTTCTTGAATCTTCGTCACTTGGACACACAACCGCACCAGCTAGGTGTACTTGACCCCTGGGTTGATTACCAACTATATGAGGCGTATCGTCATTTGAAGAATCACATAAATAATAACTGGAAAAGAATTAATTTTTTCAATTTGATATTGATATTCTTTAAACAATCTTACCTTAAAGTACCAGCTTGTGCATCTACCGTAAACCATCTGTATTGCCAACCTTAATAAGAATATTAATAGAAAATACTTATGTACAGTAAATCGAAATGCATTTTTATATTTGTCTTCAATCTTTTGTACACACAGGCATAGGAAAAATAATTTTATATTATTTACCTTTTACAACATTGGTATATTTACATAAAGTTCCAGAAAGGTGATGCCTATTTTGATTTAAAACACTAAAATAAAATCATTTAGAAAATTCAAATAGCTTTAGATTAAAAAACACTAAGCTTACCGATTAAGATTGGAATCCATGTTCCACAGCTGTAACTTTCGGGAATTTCTTCTTTTCTTCCGATGAAACAGTTTCGTTTTTGAAAATATTTCAAAGATAATAATTATTACAAATTTTTTTAGTTAAAATATGTTGAAATAATTATCCTTCTAAAATCGCAATTCATAACTGAATATTTTTTTGATGCACAAAATTTAAAAAAATATTTGACTAAATGAATATGTATGAAACTTAAATTTGTTTCACATAAGATAAAAACATATGTTCTTAGCTTTGACAATACACAGTCAAACTTCAAAAACCTTTTGTGAATATATGACTTAAATATGTAGTTCGTAATGTGTTCAGGGCTGTGATTAAATTTTTATGTTTTTGGCATGTCAAATTCATAAATCGTAGTTTTCATATTACTATAATTACAAATTTATCTTTTATGTATACAATAGGTAATTGAACGGAGATATCTTTATTAGATTGTAACAATCACTTTTTTCCAATTTTTCGTGGAAAAATTCTAAAAATTTAAGTAGTTTACAATAGTCAAATACCGAAAAAATAGTTGCCAAAGTTTTCAAGTCCACATTATGTTTTTATTGCTGTTATAACGTGCATATATTTTATTAAAATAATTTATCTCAATTTTTTTTTACTGTTGATTACATTATTACGCAACTAAATTTTTGTTGAAAATGTCACACAACTTTTTCGTATTTTTTTTTCATAAATTTGTATTGAGGGAGAATTTGCAGAAATTTACAATGAGAAAAAAAATATTTACATAATCTATTTATGAAGTGGAAATAAAATTTTAAAGTTAGTATTAAGAAGTTTTTTACCTGCAAAATTAAGCATTTTCTCAATTTTGGCATTTTTACTTAATCTGACTCTTCTTATCTTTTTTCACTCTTCGCCAATATTTTTTTAATATGTAGTTCTGCCCCGTGGGGTTAATTTTGTGATTTTGACATATAATATGTCGACGTTTTCAAGACCTTGCAAAGTGAACTGATAATAAATACAAAACAAATGGTTAAACTCTTCATTTCTGTGACAAATTATTATTAAGTAACATATAGTGTTAGGCTTAGTCAATAGTTCTTAATCTCTTTTTTTATCATTAAATAATATAGATAACGTTTGAAATAAAAGGCAATCCAAAAAAGGTCAAAGTATCAAAATGAAATTTGGTCCTCTTGTGGGTTCCATTGATGAAGGAACTTCTTCTGCTCGATTTATACTTTTTAAAGCAGGTACAGATGAAATAGTTTGTTACCACCAACTAAATGTACCAAGTATTTATCCAAAGGTAAATTTGAATAATACATGTACATGTATCTTATGAAATATTTGCTATGTTATATTGTATGTGTTAAACTATGCCAAATTATTTGAACAGGAGGGATGGGTTGAACAAGATCCAGTGCTAATAATAGATATAGTGGAAAAGTGCATTGAAGGAGCCTTACAAAAATTAAAGTCATTAGGAGGAGATATTAAAGATATAAAAGCAATTGGAATTACAAATCAAAGAGAGAGTACTGTCGTGTGGGACAAAAACACTGGAAAGCCATATCATAATGCCATAATATGGTTAGACATGCGAACATCATCCACTGTAGATTATCTGTTACAAAAAATTCCAAATCATTCCAAGAACATTAATTATTTAAAACCATTGTGTGGTCTTCCTTTATCTCCCTATTTCTCAGCGTTAAAACTACGCTGGTTAAAAGATAATGTCCCAAGAGTAAGTCAAGCAATGGATCTTGGCAATCTATTATTTGGTACTATAGATTCTTGGTTAATTTGGAATCTTACAGGAGGAACAAAAGGGGGAGTTCACATAACTGATGTAACTAACGCCTCTCGCACTATGTTGATGAATATAGAAACACTGGAATGGGATAAACATTTGTTAAAATTTTTCGAACTTCCTATTAATATATTACCGGATATAAGATCTAGTTCAGAAATTTATGGTTACATAAAATTAAACTCTTTATCCGATATTCCCATATGTGGTTGTCTTGGTGATCAACAAGCTGCGTTAATAGGACAATCTTGTTTTCAAAGCGGCCAAGCCAAAGCTACTTATGGCACAGGATGTTTTTTATTGTATAATACCGGAAACGCTATTATTAATTCACAATGTGGTCTTTTAACCACGGTTGGGTATCAATTGGGAAAAGACGCAAACCCAGTTTATGCTCTAGAAGGGAGCGTCGCTATAGCAGGTTCGTTTAAAAAATCTACTTATGTAAAAATGCATTATAAAATTTGTTTTTTTTAGATGAAAATTGATTTAAAAAAAGTACATTTTTTTGTTTTTTCTATAAATTTACAAACAATCCTGCATTTTAGGTGCTGCTTTTGGATGGCTGAAAGACAATATGTCATTAATTGAAGATTTAAACGATATTGAAGCTTTAGCTGAAGAAGCTAATGATTCAAACGATGTGTATTTTGTTCCAGCTTTCAGTGGGTTATATGCCCCTTATTGGGATCAAGAAGCTAGAGGTATAATAGTAGGATTAACAGAAGATGTTCACAAAGAGCATATTGTACGCGCCACTATTGAAGCTGTTTGTTTTCAAGTTCGAGATATACTGGAAGCAATGAAGAAAGATTGTGGGATCCCTATTACCAAATTGAAAGTGGATGGAGGTGTAACCACTAATAAATTACTTTTACAAATTCAAGCTGACTTAATTGGATTTGAGGTAGTATCTGCTAGTATACGCGAAACAACCGCATTAGGTGTTGCTCTAGCTGCATATAGAGCAATTACTGGAGACAAAAAACTAGATTTAAAGTCATCAGTATCCAATCAAGCAAGCTTTAAACCAAAAACTAATGAAAATGAAAGAGATATGCGTTATTCAAAATGGAAAATGGCAATTGAGCGTTCCTTAGGTTGGGACACATCTAAACCAGATGGAAGTCGTTTAATTATTTAACTTAAAAATACATTCTAAAAAAAAATACTTACTTGAATTACTTTTACTAATTCAAAGTATAGTTTCTCAGGACTAGCAAGTTCTTAATGAAACGGAATTTTTAATGTTGTTTTTCAATTTATAGCGTTGTTATATTATAAAAAAAAAATAATTTTCATTACAAATATGTTATTTTTTTAATTAGTTTACATTATTGAAGAAATATAAATATTTGATAGACAAACATAATTTTTGTATAGAAATATTTTAATGTAAATATCAATGTTTTTTATTACAGAGTGCTTTCAATAGTAGATGTTGTTTAATGCCAACAAAAAAGCATTTTGAACACGATTTTTACTGTTTCGACCTTCAAGTAAATAGATACTTAAAATGCTTTTTTAGTAAATCTAATTTTAAATTTTTATAATTAAATATCAATATTGTTAATTTTGATCTTCTAATTGTGGCTCATCCAATGGTGCAACAGCGCCGATAACATCAACACCGTCATCCCCAAATACAACTACTTCTGGATCGACACCTATTACAGGGGGCGGAATGGGGTTTCCACCTAAATATGAGGCATACCTTTTATTACTAATTTTGTATGTTACTATTAAATTACCTACTTGCATCTAGTTCCAAAGGTGGATCTGCATTTGCTTCTGCCAAATTTGTTACTGATTTTGATTTAACGCATTGAAAATCAACATGTCGACTTTTAGCTTCTTCCTTTTCCCACGACATATGAATGAAAGGTCGTTGCACATAACTATATATTACTTCAGCTCGACCACCAGGTCTTTTTCTTACTTTTTCTTTATGCGTAGGATAGCCCTCGATGCCACATCGAATTTTTTTTAAACCCCTATCTTTCATGACTTGTTTAGCCACATCTCGATTTTCAATATATTTAAAAAATCTGTGCATTGCTGTGCTCATTACTGTTTGACAATATTCCTCTCCCATTTGCGGAGGATATTCTTCATCCCAATCTACGACATCGTCATCTAATAATACAACAACATGACACTCACGATCACCTCTCTGAGCAGAAGCTACCATTAGTGGTAAAATCAATTCTTCAAGAAAAATTTCGAATTGTTGACGCGCTCCTTCGTTACTTAACTCATGTAATAGTCCACGCAAATTTTGGCAGCGTACTGTAGTGGCATCAAAAGGTATAAGTAAATAATCGCAGGCTTCTTTTAGTTCTGGAACAGAAACATTTGGTGGGCATCGTATAATCCCTGAAAAATAATTGATAAATTCCAAGTCCAAATGTTCAAAATATCTTGTCTTACCATTTTTGTAAAAGTCTAAAATTGAGCGAAAAACAGTAGATGAAATTCCCTCAGCAACTTCATATTCACCCTTTTCATTCGGATGCGTAAATTCGAAACCTGTACTAAACATTGTACCAAGCATAGTGCTTGGATGGGCAGTGAATAAACTGGGATCTATAACAAAGCGAGTGCCATCTACTACTAAAGTTATGCGATCACCTAATGGAGGCTTAGATAAACTTGAGCTATTGTTTTGATTTGCAGAAGATGTTGAAGGTTGTTGATCAGTTTTTGATATAGCTCCAGTTGACTTCATTTTTGAGTTTGTATTTCGCTGAGCGGTATAAGAGCTCCTAAAAAAATTTTTTTATTCAAGTTTTATATAATTAAATTTATAAATAGTTTAAATGAAGTAGTTTACCTGGATCGAAATATTCTACGACGTCTTTCATCTGATTCATTAAACTCCTCAATCGAACTAGAACTACTATATGATTCTAAAAGTATTAAGTATTGATGGAAGGACCCAAACAAAATAAAAGGCGTAAAATTTACCTTTCCCAGTTTTCGACATTTGGCAAAAATGAAATGCCGAAAAAAATCTCTCCAGAATGGCTGCCCAAGTTAATTTTAAATTCTATATTTTATTATAAACTAATACTCAAAAAATTAAAATGAAATAAAGCTGTGAAACTTTTTTTTTGTCTGCGTTCTGCCTATTCCTTATTCCATTCCAATTTTTTTTCTTATTAATTTTCCACAATTTGGAAATGTCAAAATTAGTACGTCACAATCATAATATGATTGACATCAACATGTCAATATATCGTTAGAGGAATCCTATCGGCTACATACGCACTTCAAACCGAGAAAATCGAAATAGAAAGTTTGATACTAAATTAAACAAAAACTGCTGGACAGCATTTTTTTATATTTTATATTTAAGTATAGTGAAATAGTCATTTTAGGCATTACTCCGAATTCTATCATCATATACGAAATTCAAAAAAAGTTCGATATTCCATACATACATATGTATGTACATAGTAATAGCAAACATGATTACCATGGCGCAAAGAGTAACAATAATTACAAAAATTTTTTACAAATTAATATGGGTAGTATTTAAAATGGAGTAAAAAATTATTGAACTTTTTATAAAATTACAATAAAACAAAATTAAGGCTATCTTTGAATATTGCACTTTGAACACTACTTTTCCTTAGTTTCAAAATTTTCATAAAAATTTTTTATTACAAATAATTTTTATAAATTATAAAATAAGATTTATCTTTCCAACATTTTTGTATGTGCAGAATATTGTTCGAAAAAAGTTAAAAATTTTAAGCTGAAACGCTTTTAGTCCCGCCATGGTATTCCAACCGCGGCCGACAGAAATGCTTGTTACATATATTTTTGTTATGTCAAGATTCCAGAAAAAAACTATCTTTCCATCAAAGGACGAACGACACTCATCGCCAGTAAAACCCCATGAACTCTTCCAAAAGTAAGGATGATGATTTTTATTACTTATGTGCTTGAAAATCATATAAAATTACGTTTAAAATGTATGATACTACCACCAAACACCGAAATTCAAAGAACCTTTCATACAAGTAATCAGCCTTTCACATCCATTATATCATTCAAATTATACCATTATATACATACATACTCGCACATTCTCAAAAAACAACAATCAAAACTCTGAACTTTGCTTTAAAAATAGTGTTCCCTTAAGGTTTTATGAACATAAATATGAACTTTGAATAATAAACTTACATAATATTCATGTATTTTCCGCCAATTTTGATTTCATTTGTTATTTCAAATCTTATCTCAGTTTTCCATTTATAAGCTAAGAATACATGTTGCAATTATATAGGTCCCCTTATTGTCAACATATTATCAATAGTAGTACTTATAACAAATGGTACGAGTTGTCCCTCTAAAACAAAACTTGTTTTTGACATTTTATACCAAAAAAAAAAACGCTAGAAGCAATCAACTTTGAATTACTCTTATGCCCATCCGCAAGGTGTCAGTTCAATTGCACGTAAATGTCAGTAATTCCTTTTGTATCCCACGCCATTAAATCAAAAAATTGTACTTATGAAAAATTCTCCAAAGAGTTTTTTTTTATAAGATTTGCGGGGTACAAGTTAAAATAATTTTTATAATAATTAAAAATAAAAAATCTCACAGTTTTAATATACTTATTTGAAAAAGTTTTTTGCAAAGTAAGTAATATAGCATTGGAATTTTGTAAAGGAGACCAAAATGGCAGCTGTTTATGAAAAAGTTGCATAGTCAAGTTCATTCGCTTAAATAGAAAATTAAGAAAAAAATAGTTAATAATTGTACCTAAATATTAGGTTTTTAATAAAGTTCATGTAATTTACCGTACTACAATTTTTATGAACAAAATTTTTCAGAACGTTAGTTTTAAGCGTTTGGTAGTATGCACACATTAAGTGCTAATAGATTTAAAATTTAACATGAGAAAATAATTAAAAGTTTTATTAAGCTCTGTACGGATTCTGATTTCAAACTATGTTTAATAGGATGAGTTTTGTAATTATATTAGTACATTTTTACTTTTCATATTATCGTATTTATGTATATATAGTGTCTCCTATCTTGCTTATCTTAAAATATTTACAGCAGTAGCTATTGTTGGTTTAATTGTTCAAGGTTTTTTAAATGTTAGAACTTTTTCTATTTCAAATTTTTATTTACTTATTACTTCTTAATTTTTTTGCTACTTGAAAGATACTGCTTCAATAAAAATACAAAATCAGTTTTTACACTTATCTTCTAGGTATTTATGATGGCACAGTATTATCAACTTGTGCCAAGCGTATCACCTAGTGATGATATTAAACGGATATTTACAAATTTAGACAACGTTCAATTGGTTCAAATAGAAGATCAATCGAACTCACAATTTATAATTCCTCAAGATGAATCTTCCTATGTTTTAAATGATGGCACTAATCAAGTACAGCAATTAGTATATCAACAAACTCCACCACAACAAAAGCAAACAATAGCTACAACGCAACAACAAACATACGATCCTTCTTCTTATCTTATCCAAGATAATCATGAAAGTGTAGTTACAAGTCAACATCATCAAATGCAGCAAACGCAGCATTCGCAGCAAGGATCTTTGGGACAAGACAATACCCAGCAAATTTATTACCAAACTGATTCAAATCAGATAGTTCAAACTAATCAAATCATGCAACATGCACAACAGCCTCAACAAGTTATATATCAAACGGTGCAGCCCCAATCAAACCCTCAACCAACACAACAACAGCAAATTTTGTTACATAAATCTCCAGACGGACGTATTAGACATATTCAGACTCCGCAAGTAATGATGACTGGCTCACCCATCAATCACACTGGGCAAATCGAACAACAACAGCAACACGTAATTCTACAAAATCAAGGAAATACACAGGTTCTTGTGCAATCCCCAATTTCACAACAACAACAGACCCAGTCCCAACATACTACTCCAATGGTGGCAGTAAGACCACAGCACAGACTTTTTTACAAGAGCCCACAAGTTCAACTCATAAGTTACCCAACATCTGAAGAATCTACCCAACCATCGCACTTGCAGACTCACGTACAACATTCTCCACAAAGATATGTTCAACATCAAACTCAGCCTCAACGAATTTTAACTCAACAAGGTGCACAGCAACACCAACAACATCAGCCTCAGCAACAAACGCACATTATGTCTCCACCTACAACGCCAAGCAATCAGCAAAACAAAGTATTTCATCAAGTGCAAACTCAACAAAAACCGGCAAATCAAATGGTGCCTCAATTAGGATCAGTACAACAATCACCACCAAGACTTTTAACCCCTGGAAACATGACTTCAAATATAAGGTTGGCTCAACATAATCGTCTTTTGTTAAATACCAATAACATAAGGCTCAGCAACCCCACTGGAATAAGAAACCAGAGTCCCAGGGGTTATGTGAGAACTAATACCGCAAACAATACTGTGACATCGCCAATTTTGACTCCTAACATAATATCTTCACCAAGAGTAACACGCCCTCGAGCTAGTACTCCTGGTACACGTGGAAGCAGAGGTGGCCGTGGAGCTAAAAATATAACTACAGGACAAGTATATTGCAACAAGTTTCATTTGTAGCTTGTAAAATCAAATATTTTTTATATTTAAAGGTTCGAATGGTATCAAATGCAGTCACTGGTACTCTACAACAAAGACAGACTACAATCAGAAATATAAATCCAAATATTTCCAACAACCAATTTTTACCAGTAACAACAACTGTTAAAACATATTTAACCGACTCAACTGGTCAAATTCAGTTGCAACAAACAGGAGGTCAACAAAGACTTTTAACTTATTCAGATGGCTCTCAACAAAAGTTAATAACTAACTCAACAAACAATTCTGTTCAACTGCAAACACCAAACAAAGGCCGTACTCTGAGTTCTACAAATAAGTCCTCATCCCAAACACAAATGTCTTCTCAATCTGATGATATTGAAGATTCCATACAACCAATATTTCTTTCGAAATCGGATGTGAAAGCTGACACTGATGAAATTGAAACAGATGACGCAAATTTACAGTTTGATTCCAATAATATAAGCTCATACAATCAATCAGAAGATGATAAAAAATCTAACATAGGAACAAATACAATGAATCTGATAGAGGACAAACAAAGAATTAAAATTGGGGGAAGGGGTTTTGTTCCTCCTAATAGAAATAATCAGCAAAATATTCCAGTAAACCGAGTCCAACCTATGCCTCAACAGCAATCTGTGCAACCTCAACCGAAGCCACAAACCGATCCCGGCCATGTAATTCAAACACAAGAAATTATTCAAAACCGAATTCAAAATCAAAATCAGCAAGATCATTCGGTAGACGGCATAGAAAAAGGAAATGCTAGAATGCTCGTTATCCTAGCTTCTGGTGAACAACGTTTAATTACATTTACTTTACCCCGCGACTCGTGTACTGTTCAAGAGCTGCTTGAGCAAGTAAACGTACCATTTGACAGTTCCACTGTCATACAGTGTGTGTCAAGTAAAGGAGCAAATATTGATTACGTTGTAACTGTTGGAATACCATTACCACCGCCAGAATCTCGGGCAGAGTGGATACAGAACGCAGAAGCAAGTTTAATGTTAAACAAAACGGATACTAGCTCAAGCCAACAGCAACAACAGCAAACACAACAACCCACTCAACAAGCATCAGTATGTACAAAAATAAACATTCTTATAATATTCATAATTCTTATAAATAACTAATCAATTTTTTTTTTGTTTTTCAAATAGCAACAAACACAAAAAAGTTTAAACGATAGCGATAAGCTTGAAGACATAATACCAACAAAATATATACCGGGTTTCTATGCTGTTTGTAAGTCATGCGGAAATTGTAGTTTAGATCACGCTAAGTGTGACCGATGTAAAAGAGTATTCGTAGAAGAACCAAAACGATATCCTTTTGGAGCTAAAACTGAAAAAGTCACACAAAATCCACATGCTCAGATGAGTATAGAAAAACGTGCGACTTTAACTTCAGAGATGATGGGTAGAGCGACTAAGACTTTGGCAACTTTAACTTCCGGCCGTGGACGTGGCAACTCTCTGACTGTAACACAAAGAGGAAGAGGAAGAGGGGGCCTGAGGGCCGCTAACCGTCAAACTGAAGCAGCCCCCGTTATTTTGACATTAAGCAGTGACGATGAAGAGCAAGATGATGACAAAACCTTAAATCAAGTAAGTTTCTTTCTGAAATATCATCATTGACAATACCATTACCATTATTTTTTTTATTTAGAAAATGGAAGGGAACGACAATTTGACAACAAATTTAATTCCTCTACAATGTGAGCCTGTAATTCCAGATGTGGAAAATGAACCTAACGGTAAGTTTATATGCATTTTATTTAAAATTCCACCACGATTAAAGTGTATATGTACATTTTATATAAGATAAGAATTTTGAAAATATAAGATTTCGCAGAGTTAAAAGCGGCGAAAATATATTAAATATATAAAAAAAAATAATATTAAATAGTGCCAAAATCTTTGCAAAGTTTTAGAAGGCTTGCATCGATCACTTTAAAATCTTGAATGATCTATGGCTGACAAAATTTTTACTGAAAGTTTTTCTGAATATCATTTTGATTTCAATGTTTTATATTAATTTTATAAAGTTCTCATGAATGTGTCAGAAAAAAATTCTGATGCTATTTGACTAGAAAAATTTTGATGTCATTTACCTAGAAAAATTTTAATCAAATTTTTTAATGTTTGTATTACTTGTTTTAGCAAAATTCGACCAAATTTTAATTGTTTCTCATTTTTCTGATAATTATTAACATATCAGACTGAAATTTTCTGATATTCAAGCTTTAATTGAAAAAATTATTTAATAATTTTGCTATAAAAATTATAACCAAAATAAAAATCAACGGATCGCTCTTTCGATTTGCTCTCAACGGATTGCTTTTGGAAAAACTGACAGTAAATCTGATGAGTTTAGAGTAATTTCTATTATTTGCCGTTAGGAAAAGTCTGATGTCAAACTTTATTAAACTTATATATTACAATCATTTATTTTACAAACTTAAAGTTTTTAACGGTACTGAATTTTTCATCGTATAGCAATATATATTCCACTCCCTAAAATTGTACCGAAAAAAAATATATAATTTTTGCCAATGAATCGTTTCATTAGCAACATTTAGTTAGAAGATATAATTTTTTAACTGAAATAATCTATTTTTTGCAAGTGTGTATTTCAAAATATGTATTAAATGTAAATGTAAATTTCATTAACTCTATTAATGCAAATCAAATTTTTGCAAGTGTTACGTAGTAAATACACAGTAATGCCAAAGTAAAAATACCTAATACATAATATTTTTATTGCGGTTTGTTCAATACCCAAATGTATCCGATTTTGTGTGATTATTTTTGTCTTTACTTAATTGGCTTTGTTCTAATGTTGCTTATATTTTGAAGAGGAAATTTTATTTTTGCTTTGGTGTGTAATGATGGCTTAAAATATGCAATTGTATTTTTGGTTTTGTATCTTGTTCAGATTAACATGTATCCCGTGAATGACATTTGCTACATGGAAGGAAATGAAATTCGCACTACATTAAAGGGAAAAAAAATGCTGTCAAATACAGAAAATACAAAACTTTTTCTTAGAAAAAGACAAAGCATTTACAAATTTATAAGTTAAAAAACCAAAAAATTTTGTGACGGTATTTTACAGGTTGCTCAGTATTGAATGTGTTGTTTTTCGATTATCTTAGACTCAGATAATGTAGTAAAAAACATGTATATTTTAGTTAACTAACAAATTTTTTAACTTTTACTCCAATTCTCTACTTTCAATCCACTGATATAATTTCGGAGTTTAAAAATTTCTTAACAGTTTTCAAAATTTTGGATCAATTGTGAATATAAGTTTTCGTATTACAAAAAAAATTTTGTGTCAAGTTAAAAAAATTTCCAGCAGTCAAGTGAAAAAATTCGCTATTGAACAAACTTTTTTGTGTTTTTGGTGACATTATGAAATCGGTTCTTTTATATTTGACAGTTTAAAAGAAATGTCACTTTCTCAAGCCGAAAATCATTTAGAAATAAGCATCTTGTACATAATTGTTTAACTCAAAAAAATTTAGACTTAGAAAATACTCAATATTTCGAAAGTCAATATTAAGGAGGAGTTGGAAGCAAAATGGAATCAGGTTCTAAACTTCTTATTACTATTTATTAATATACACATGCGTTTTCCGTGAAATCCTGTGACAAGATGATTTGACTTTTTTTTTTTTCTTTTTTTTTTTTTTTGCAGATACTGTGAGAGAAAATGTGGCTGATCTTAGCAATTCAGCTGATAAAATGTGCACAATTTTAACTTGTAAGGTAATCCGAATTGGTTCTCACAAATTTCAACCAAAAGAAAAGGTGAAAAATTTCAAATCCAGTTGATTTCTTGATTTCAATACTAAATTTTTGTATAGGTTACTATTACAAGTAAGGGCGTAAGAGTTATTGCGCCGAGTTGCAGCAACCCAGAAGATAATATATGCCTCGATATAATGCATCAAGAAATTGTTAAAGTTATAGCGCATTTATCCAAAAATTTAGCTGTACTGTTTTTGTACACACTACCCAGATGTGGAGCATACATCAGAGAAAGTTTAGATATGAAAGCTAAAAATGCTCTTTCAGAAAGTAATTTTAGTAGTTTAGTTTTATTCTGATTTAGTTCTTTTAATATACTTCGTTTTAGCACCTTACTACAATCCAACAGATCGAGCTGAACCTTACAAAAGAATTGTGATTCAAATAGAAAATTTGCATGAAGAATCACGATCAATAATAAGGTCTATATTTCCAACTACAGTTCTAGAATTTGTTGGTCTAGACGATGCGAAAGAATTACTGAGCAGATCTAGTTCTAAGGATAAAGCAGTCAAAGTTGAATCTTCGGGGTATTTTTTTTTATATATATACAATTTCTATAATTGATAACGAAAAACTTTTTAGATCCATACTGAAATTGGAAAATGACCAAAATATTCGACAAATCTTAATTTATCCACCAGGAAAGGGAGGAATTTCTATAAATACCGAAGATTATATGTGTTTAGCGATTGATCAGTATTTAAATGACGTTATCATTGATTTTTATATGAAATATGTTCATCTTCATCTACCAAAAGAGCAGCAAGATAAAACTCATATTTTTAGCACATTTTTTTATAAACGCTTAACCACAATGACAAATCGTCAACGACAAAGCAAGGAGGATGCCAAACTAACAGCAGCACAAAAAAGACATGCGAGAGTTGCTAGTTGGACAAAAAATGTTAATTTATTTGAAAAAGACTTTATTATAATTCCAATCAATGAGCAATCTCATTGGTTCTTAGCAATAATTTGCTTTCCTAAATTAAAAGGACCCGTTTCTTACGATACGTTGCAACCTGTTTCAACTGAAGGAATAACAAAAAAGAAAAGTGAGTTTTTAATTCATAAAATTAAAATTTCATTGATAGGATTAATCAAAGATACAAATTTGAATTAATCGATATATGTATTATATGATATTATCGATGTATGTATTGATAATATACAATATAAATTGATCGCTATATATATACTTACATTATATATTGTATCATATACGATGTGTGTATTTGTTAAAATTAAAAATTGAAAATATTAAAAATTAAAAATGAATATGATTAAAACATTCCAGAAGCCCACACAGAAAGAAAAATCTCTCTACAAATAGGAAATACAACCATTACTCCTTTGAGTAAAAGGGAATATGAAGCCGTAACAGTTGGTGATGATGATAGCGAAAGGGATGAGGCCGAAGGTGACGAAAGTGATTTGGCATCAGATGACTCTGATTTTGAAAATGGTACTAACGGAAGTGCGAATAATCAAGTTCAAACATCTCAATCACAGGCTATTAAACAGCCGATGATTTTAATATTTGATTCATTAGCTGGTGCTTCGCGCAACCGCGTTGTTGCTACCCTCCGTGACTATTTGACTTGTGAATACAAAGCGAAATGTAAAGATACACCATACGTATATCATAAACTTAATATGCCAGGCTGTAGTGTTAAAGTTCCACAACAAAATAACTTTACCGACTGCGGATTATTTGTTTTACAATACACTGAATCATTTTTGAAGGATCCAATCAAGGATTATAAAATTCCTATAAAACAGTTGGTAAATTGGTTTGAAAATATCACTGTAACAAAGAAAAGGGAAGATATTGCAATCCTTCTAAAAGAATTAGTATCAAAACAACATCCAGAAAGATTACCATTACCTGAAATACAGTTACCTACACAAGATGGAAAGCTTATTGAATATACTGAAGGTGAAGCTGAATTTGAAGAAGATGAGATGGATGAAGAGCTTGATGAGGTATTATAATTTATAGAAATAAAAAATGAAAAGAAAATTTCTAAATTAATGTTCTCATTGTTATCATAGGAGGAAGAAGAGGAAGTTCCTGCAGCAACTATAAGCCCCAGTGAAATCAACAATTCCAAAATTAGTGCTAATATTACACCTAAACCACAAATCTTGTTTAAGCGTAGTATAAATGAGGTCAACGCTGGAAAATCACAAGAATCGGTTATGCGGAAACAGATTAGATTAGAAGAACAAAATAATTTAAATTCAAATAGTGTAAATATTGGAAATAAGAGTAACATAATTTTAAATATAAATAATACAAATACATCTGTTCCCCCATAAATTATAAAATTTCATCATTAAGTAGTAGCATTATATAATAGGGTTAATTGTAAAACAATCAAATTTGAATTGATTTAGTTTTTTATTACTATTATTATTTTTATAATGTTTATATAAAATGTTTCTTGTATTTTAATTCTATAACTGATTTTTTTATTTTGTTATCTGCTTTTTTAATTTCAATTTAATTGAGATATTGTTTTATTCAAAGGTCGATTAGATAAATTTTAATGCATACGTGGATAAAAATGAAGAAGTTAAAGAAAATCTTATTTTTTCTTTACGATATTTTTGTTTTTTTTTTCTTTTTTCAACAAAACACAATGCTTTTGAATTGTATATGTAAAATATTATTCATTTTAACTTATAATTTTCAAAAGCCTTCAAAATTTCGCATTCTACTGAATATGCTAATTCATGTTATAAAAATATTCAATTAAATTATCCAATAAAAATAAAATATAAGTCAATGTGAATTAATATTTTATTAATGTTTATCAACAGTGTAACACATACGTAAATAAACAAATATTCCAAACAAATCTTTATATTATATGAAAATATACAAAGAAATTGCTTCACTATCCCTAATTTTTCTTTTGTTTTAATTAAAATTACATTTCTGAAATAAATAGTAAGAAAGAAGAACATCAAAGAGTAAGAAATTGATTGACTAAACACATATTGATATACATATATACATATAAATTTATTTAAGACATATGATACATATAAATTTATTTATTATATATTATATATAAATATAAATTTTATGTATAAGCAATGATTTTATTATAACTTTTTAGTAAATATTTAATAAAAACAACATAAAATTAACCTGTTTTTAATATGAACTTTCAAGTTTTTTTTTAATTTAAAAAATTACCGCATTGATAATGCAAATATTTAATAGCTAATAACAATATTATTTAATACTATTTAATAATAATTGTCAACAGATAAAAGTGTGCATATGATGGCATGTATAATTCCAATTCAGAGTAAAAGAATACATGTTAGGAAAATAATGTTAAAAATATGTGTTATTGTGTTTCTTATGGTTTTCAACTTTTTTTGATCGGAAAAGAACTTGAAAATTGTACATTGAAAAAAATTTGAACAGCTATGCTGAGCAAAAAAAATTGTCATATTTCAATCAGTATTTTGACTACGAGGAAAATTCAAATTTTCATTTAAATTTTAGCTATATTGTCCCATTGTTTTTCAAATGTCTGAGATCAATAGTACATAATGTAGCTAACTTAGAAATAAGAATAGAAGGTAAGAGATGAAATTTGAAATGAAATATGTAGTATAACCTTCAAATGTATAAATGCATATTTATAAATCCAAAACAAAAGAATACATGAAAAACTCTAAGTTTATTAACCTAACAAGTCTATGTGCCCTTAATTTTTTTTTACTTTTTATGTAAGAATACATGGAAATAGCGAAAATAGAATAAAATCAACCAATCATTACTACTGCTAATTGTGTATGTAAGATTAAAGTAAATGTAATTGTATGTTCGTATGTTTTACCATGTATATATTAAAACATACATGGTGAAATATAGTATGAAACGTTAATCATGTATTCCATTAAAACAGATTTGCATAAATTTAAACCATGTATCATCTCTTAACATGTATTTTGTCATGTATTCTTTCTAAATTAAAAAAACTTCAAAATCCCTATCGGCATAATACATGGTGGACACGTGTTTTTTAATGTGCTAATAATTATTTGTAAATGTCAATATCGTTTTCCCCAGAATACATGATATAAAAGAACTTTGATTTTTCATGTTGTCAAATTGGCAATAAAATTAACCTTACTTTATTGTTCTATTTAGAATTTTGTTGAGTAAATTAAAATATGTACATACTTTTTGTCCGTATCACTATCATAAACTGTACATATCTAACCAACAGAAAGCACAAATTTTGACTTAATTCAGAAATCTCGAAGAAAGAGTGAACTAAATTTAGGCGAGCAAGCGATCTATAGTCGTTACGCATTTAAGATTACACACAAATTTTTAACGGTAAACTCTTCTTGTAAGTGACAAGAAGCACAACAGGGTTTTTTAAAAAGACTTTTTTAACAAAGATTTAACAATTGGACTAATTAAATATCCTCGAATAGAAATTAATGCTATAAATTCACATATATCACACAATATATGTTATAGATAAAATTATTTTTGCTTTAGCGTATTAAAGATAAAATAAAGTTTATTAGCAAAGATACACATACAAGGTATCAACCTCTGAATTAGCGCTGATGCAAAAGTAAATTTTTTGACAATTGTTTTCATGTAAAAAAAATGCTCAAATTATAGTTGCAAAATCCGTTAAAATAAAGTTTTTTTTCTAATTTTCAGCTATTAGACGAAAACTGTAAGTTTTACATCAATCATTGGCATTTCCGTTATGTAGGTCTATTAACAATAGGCCTACTAAATTTGCTTTGCTAGTTAGTAGTTTACGTATTTTATTAACTGAAAAATAATTGTAAACAACGAATTTTTTCAGCTTCAATAGCTTTGGACCTCATATGAATATTTGTCAGAAAATTTTAAGCTTCCAAGCTACTCTTAGTTATCCAAACTTCTCTTCCCCATTACACATGAACAATTTTATGTACATTTTCAACCGACAAGAGTTTAAAATCTGTTCAGCACTTTGTATTTACTTAATAACTAGTAGGTAATTTTAATTTTATTAAAGAAATAAAAAATTATTAATATTTTAATTCAAAATTTTTTCACTTTAAACTTAAAACCACAACTTTGTTATGCATAATATATTTTAATTCAAATAACATAAATTATTGTTTACATATAAGGTATATGCACTAGGTACAAATCTTTTCAAATTCAAAAATTTTAATAGAGGAAAATACTTTTTAATACATACTTATGTACATGCATATATTTCAATATAACCATATTTTATTGACTAAAATAAAAAAAAAAGAAGAATGTAAATTTGCAACTTTTATTTTTTCTTCTTTAATTCTTCGAAACGCCTTGTCAAGTCATCAAAATCTATTTCATCGTCATCCTTTACTGATGGAGCTTCTGGTAAGCCTTTTAAAAAAATAACAAAGTCAATTAGGATATCTAAATTGCAGTATGTATTTAGTTGAAAAGTACCTAAGGGCACATTTGGTAAATTTAGAATACTCGAACTTGGTGAAATAGAAGGTGCTGTTGGATAAATACTTGGTGAATCATCTGTTGTAAATTTAGTACGTGGTTGCGGTTTCGGTTTGTTTTGTTCTGACGACTATCAATATGTTGAAAAATAGTCATTTATTGTATATAATATAAAATAAAATTTATGAATTAAAATAATTGGAAAGCTAAAAAAGTTAATTAATCACCTGTAAATTATCATTAATTACAACTAAAGAATATCGTGGAGGATCAGCATTAGAAAAATTAACATTCTAAAAAATTGCCAAAATAAAACAAACTAAAAAATTAGACACAATTTAAAACAAATACAAAAATAAAACTTCATAAATTAAGAATCGTGCGTGTTAAAACCCAAAATAACAAAAATGTCTGTGAAATAACTTTATGTAAAATTTTCCAAATTTTCAATGTTTTCCATACATTGAAACGTTTCCTTTGCTTTATCATCCAGTACAAAAAAAATTAGTTTTTAAAAAATAGATTAGTATCAAAGCTCAAATGCATTCTCCTTTCAGAGTTAGGTTGGCCATAATGATGTGACTTTAATTAACTAAATGAGAATTTACTTCCAATTTGTGCAAGCATTTATGTATATAACATGGTAGCAAACTAAGATACCCACTTTGAATAAACGACATATTAGAAAAACGAGTAAAACTTCTTTGCTTTTAAATATTAACTTTAAATTTATCGTTTTTTGTTAAAAAAGTCATCTATCATATTTTTTATAATATATCGTCTATTCCCCAAATTAAAATATTTTATTATCATAACAATGAAATAAAAAAGCATAATTTATTTTTTCAGCTGTTTTTTAGTTATAGTTTAAATGTTATTATTAAGTTCTTTTTTACTTCATATTTACTTTAGAGTTAAAAATTAAAAACCAAAAAAATTAGGATAGCTATCGTGCAATATGTATAACTTCGTTTGTATGTACAAAATATAAATTAAAGAAATTCTTATCACATACTCTCACATTTTCTTTACCTGATTATCATCTGGACTTCCTGATCCACAATTAGATATTTTATTTGTTTCTTCCTACAAAAGAATAAATTCTAATAATGTTCTGTAAAATATAAATTTTTAATTGCACTTTATCTTACATTTATAAATTTTGTATTAATATTCAAATCCTTTTTTTCTGGTACATTCTCCTGAGGGTTTTCTGGAACTGTGACGTTAGGTGGTATATTGTAAGCAAACGGCGCATTTGGAACTGTATTTCCATTACCACCACCACCTCCGTTCCCAAATCCAGGATAATTAAAAGGTTTCATCTAAAATGAAATATTGAATTAAAAGTTTTCAAACTTGACTTTAATATTACATTTGGTGGCTCAGGTAGATTCGGCAATTGTGGCGGTTGAGGATACCCAATAAAGCCCATTTGTGGAGGCTGTGGTCCGCCTCCCAAATTATTTTTATCAGATAAATCAATTAAGAAATTATCCAACCCTAATGGACGGAATCAGTATTCAGTAATCAAATAATTAATAAATTAGTAATCAAATTTTTTAATGAGTAAATAAAATGAATATTTCATTACCAATTGGTCTTAGATCTTCTTTCATAACTTCTGGATCGGGTTCATATTCCACAGAATAATTATTAGCAATTTCTATAAGATACTTTTCGACCAATAACTTCGGGGGAGCTTGTATAGCAAGTTTTGACATCAATTTTTCTGAAACCCTATGATTTCCAGTGGCAGTACGAGAATGTTCTGCGAAGTCTTTCCCATACTTATTAATGAAAATATCAGATATAACTTTTAATTCTGACACATCAGATTGCAAACGCGGACAAACCCATACTAAAATAAAAAATTTTTTGTCTGTATTAATATTAAATATATCTAAATAGATTCTTACCTAAACTTGATACTGCTTCTGCAATTCCATCATCCAACTCCTTCATTTGAGTTATAAGTCCAAAACGGGCTAGCAACAAATCACAGTACATTTCAACGATTTCCATTGCCTCAATTAGATAATCTTCTCTAATAAATTAAAACTTTTTATTTAATAATTTCGACTTTGCAACATTTCATGTTTTACTACAAACTTACCGAATAATATGTTCAACTCTAATTTTAGCTCTTTCAACCTTATTTGAAGCAATGGAATCTGCGATTTCCTTACGTGCTAAAAGTAGATATAAGTTTGTGAAGATTTATATGTAATTTAGTAAGATTTACCTTTTTGAGTTAATTCAGCCTTTTTTTTTTCAAGGAGCTTTAGCCTGTTGACCGCCAATCTTAAATGAGTTTTTAATTTTGTATAATTAGGACCACTCGAAAACATTTTAAAATTTCCTTATTTTTTAATAATTTAATTATTGAACTTAAGTATGTCTCAAATCAAAAGCCAGTCTTAGTCACCAATTTTTTTTAATGTTATTACTCACTGAAAGTTTTGACAATTTTTCAGGGCTCAACAATGAATACAGTGACGACTAGAATTTACTACGGAATTGTCAAAATGTGATTTTGTCATTTTGGTTCACACATCACTTAATCCAATTGGTTTGATACGCTTTTAATTGTCGGATCGATGCAGTGTGCTAACGGTTTCACTAATTCTTGTTATATTCGTCATTTGGAACTACTATGTATTCCATATTTTTCTCCTTTTGAAGTACATATTAATGTAATATATTTTTGATAGTTTACGTAGATAATATACATATAACTAATAAATATTTTCAATATAGTTGGTTTACACAACTGAATATTGCAAATTATATTGAACATGTATGTTTCACGATATTGTTTCCTGTTTTACATTTGCACAATACATATGTATCTTTAATATATGTGCATATATTTGTGCTGTTCTATAATAATAGTTGAAAGCTATTCATTCAAACATGCACCAGCGGATATAAATTTAGATATGTATGTATATTACCATAAACTCCTATAAAGATGTCTGTGATATTACTCTTCCCGAAACCACATTAAACTTTAACTCAGTCAGTTTTGGTAGAGCATATGAGTATATTAAAGTTTTATATTTTTGGATAGAACACCTCAGTAAAAAATATTAAACTTTGTCTCAGCTACGTGTTTTTTTTATTTCATCAAGAACTATTTAATTTTTTTACAGTCATATTACTTTTACATATACACACTTTGTCTAAAAATGACTCAGTAATTTTCAATTAAGTTCTTTTTTCTAAAACTAGTCTCGAGGCTAATTATTTATTACAATTTAACTGAGTTATTTCTTACATATACACACTTTGTCTAAAAATGACTCAGTAATTTTCAATTAAGTTCTTTTTTCTAAAACTAGTCTCGAGGCTAATTATTTATTACAATTTAACTGAGTTATTTCTTAGTTTTTATCTCGTGAAGGAACCTATTGCTTTCATATAAACCTCTATCATTGACATTAAACTGTAACCCAATTAAACAGGTTTACTAAATTTAGAAATAAAATGTCTAATAGGGGTTAAGCTCTAAGATGATATAATTCGCTCCAAACAAATTTTACACTCTTAAGAATTGCCTGTAACCCTGAGTTAATTTTATTCGATCATAACATAACGCTAACGGCAATACTTCCAAAAAATCTTAAAATACTAACAAAAATGTCAAATCGTTTTCTTCCACGATTCAATTTAATTTCCTAAGGAATTTGTAGAATAATTAAATTTATTTATGAAAATAAAATTTAGCAAAATTAATTTCAAGTACCATGGCAGGTCAACAATTTCAATACGATGAAAATGGTGGGACTTTTTATTATTTTCTTTTGTCATTCTTAGCATTAATTCTAATACCCACGACATTTTACTTATGGCCAAGGAAAAAAAAAGAAGGCAAGTATCTAATAAAATTAAGAGAAAAATGGATTATTTAAACATTTTAATTTCGAAATTTATATCAAAACTACGCCTTTTGCAAATAGTTTTTATGAAAACCATTAAATGAAATACACGAGTTTGGAGCGGTACTTTACCCCTTCAAACTTGCTAATTTATTGAGCGTCATAAAAATCTGATTTGTGACGTGTTTTTAACGGTGTGAAAATTTTGTACGTTTTTCATCATGTTCATACATACATATACAAAAAATATTTAGTTGACTAACAAAAGTAAATATTTTAGATCCAGAAAAATTAAAAGAAGAATGCCAATGTGATGGATGCATACAAAAAAAGCTAATTATAGCTTCTTCAGAACCATATAAGACATTGAAAACATTCCTTATTAGATTATGTATTTTAGCAGGTTGGGCATTTCTAATATTTTTAGCATATCGGGTATCCCAATTTGATTACGAAACGGTCAACTTTGATCCGTATGAGATTTTGGGCATTCCAGCAGATTCTTCGCAAGCTGAAATAAAAAAGTCTTATCGTAAGTTATCGTTAGTTTGGCACCCTGATAAAGAAACCGGGGATGAAAAAACTTTTATGAAAATAATTAGAGCTTATAAGGCTCTAACAGATGAGGAAGCTAAAAAAAATTGGGAACAATATGGAAATATAGATGGACCAGGAGCTATGTCATGTAAGTATTGACGTGATTTAAGATGTCTTTTGTTAAAAATAACAATTTTAGTTGGCATTGCGTTGCCTTCTTGGATAGTTGAAAAAGAAAACTCAATTTGGGTTTTGGGATTGTATGCACTTGTATTTATGATTGCATTACCGATAGCAGTTGGATCTTGGTGGTATCAATCTATACGTTATTCTGGTGATAAAGTTTTGTTAGATACAGCACAAATGTATTTCTATTTCTTCCATAAAACTCCACATATGCTACTAAAACGTGTCATAATGATTTTGGCAGCAAGTTTAGAATTTGATAAGCGCCACAATTCACAAGTTGTTGAAAGGCAATCAGATAATGATGAAGTTCCTGTTGTAAGTTTTTTTGATTTTAAAATAGGAGCATTAATTTTTTATATACATACATGTATATTTCTTATTTAGTGATATACTTTAAACTTTCACATTAAAATTTTTATCATTTCTTTCAGTTAATAAGGCAGTTGCCAAATCTTAATGAAAAGTGCAAGGAGCCCCCTCTTTGTAGAATGTACTCTATTAAAGCCAGGGCTATTATACATGCTCATCTTAGTCGTTTAATTTTAAACCCAGATACATTAGAAAAAGATAGACAATTTATTGTACGAAAATGCCCGTATTTAATTCAGGAAATGGTTTCTTGTGTACATCAACTTGTTATGCTAGCATATGCTAGAAGAGGTATATGTTATTAAAACAATAATTTTTACTTTTTTAATCAAAAATGTTTGTTCAATTTTAGTGCAAAGGGTTCCAAATATTGAAACAATCGAAAGTTGTATGAAACTTTCTCCTATGATAATACAAGGGTTATGGGATAATAAAAGCCCGTTGCTTCAATTGCCTCACATAACAGAGGAGCATGTGCATAATATATTAAAGAAAAAGCATATAAAAAATCTGCAGCAGTTTGCACAATTAAAAGCAGAAGAAAGTAGACATTTATTAAAAGATTTAACCCCAGAAAAGTATAATGATGTAATGAAGGTTTTGGGGAAAATGCCCTTAATAGACTTTTCAATACGTTGTGAAGGTAAATTATTCAGTGCCTTAACAGGATGTTTTATTAAATAATTTATTTCTTTCAGTTATCGATGACGAAAATACGAATATAGTTACAGCTGGAGCAATTGTGACAATCACTGTAACTTTAGTACGTAGAAATATGAAGGAACTGTTTGGAGATAGTAGTATTGCTGAAAAAGAAAGTATTAAGTAAGATAATAAAAAATATTTGTGCTTTATGTGTTTAGGTTGTTTTTGTTAATTATATAAATTTTAGAGATGATGAGACTGCTCAGGACAACGAGGAAAATGAAGATTCGCAACAGCAACAAACAGTTAAAAAGCCCAGTCAATGGTCAAAAATTGGAAAGCGGGGACATAAGGGCAAAGGAAAAAAATTCAGTGGTCAAACGAAGAGCAAACAAATAAAAAATATACAGGGATCTACGAACACGGTAAATATTTCCAGTGATACCAAATATAAAGGTGGAGGAGGTAGTGGTGATACTCCATCAGAACAATCAAAGCATGATTCAGATAGTGATTCAGCTGATGAAAGTAATGTAGAGCGGGAGTCGGGTTCAGCTAGTGATGATGATGAAAAAAAGAATTCTTCTATCGATAATGAAGATGACGATGATGAATGGGAGAGATTACAATCAAAATTAAATAAAAGAGAGAAATTGGAAGGAAAATCCAGAGTATCTCACGCGGTGCACTGTCCATATTTCCCTGAAGATAAACAGGAATACTGGTGGACATATATTTGTGACCGAAAATCAAGAACTCTGCTTACAGCCCCATATCATGTGACAAATCTAGTAGATCGTGAAGAAGTTCAATTAAAATTGACAGCACCGAGATGGCCAGGATTATTTACGTTTACAGTTTGCTTAAGATCAGGTAAAAAATCTATAAGTTAAAAATTTTTTAATGGATAAAATACTATGCTCTCAATTTTAGATTCTTATTTAGGAATGGATCAACAACAAGAATTAAAATTAGATGTTCAAAAAGCACCAGCTCCACCAACAGATCATCCACAATGGGACATTAGTGATACTGAATCTGAACATCATGATGAACAAGACAATGAAAGTGAATATACCACTGATACTTCAGACGAAGAGGCATAAAATTGTGGCAAACAAGTCGGAAATAAACATAATGTATAGTTAAACAAAGAGTAACAATATGGCAAACCTTTTATAAATAAACTTGAAACATTATTGAAATCTTTGAAAAAGTTACGATCCCACGAAAATTTTAGATAACAAAAAAACAAAATATTTTTTAAAAGCTATTAATTTAATTATTAACTTTAAATAAGCCTAGAAATAAAAATTTATATTACTGAATTTTTAATGGGTTTTCTATTCGAATACAAAAATAAAAAATTTATGTGAAATTTAATAAACATATTAGTCTGATGTTTTTGTTATTGCACAATTTGAAATAAATACTTGTCGATTTATTTTTGTCAAAAAGTGAATTTTATTAATTTTGATAAATAATGAATTACAAAGAAGTAACATTTTAACGATAACTGATGATTTTATTTGTCTTACACTCCAATCACAAACTTTTTTCTCAAAAACTCTTTTATTTAAATGTATTTTGAATGGATACATTTATCCATGAAATATATTGCAGTTTTAGTTGAGATGTAAATATGCACATAAATGTTTTTCTAGTACATTCTCCCCGCTAAATTGATTGCTCACAAAAATTAAAAAATAAAAATAACTCGAAATGTATGCGCTTATCTTTTATATATTAAGAAGTTTTTTCAAATTACAGATTTCTACATCTCTTGATTTAATGATTTGTTTTAACTTTAATATTAACCTATCTTTAGCTTCAACTTCTTCAGTAAGTTTTTTTATTAATTGTTCATTGTTTTCCAATTTTTCTATTCTTTTCTTTAACTGCTTAATTTGAGCATCTTGAATAGATTTCAAATCGACTTGTGATGTATTGAGTCCTCGTAAACTACTTTCTAATCTCACATTTCTTACGGCTTCTATTAATTCTTTTGTGGTAGGTCTATCCTTAATGCAGCCTAACAGACTTCTAAGCAATTTTATCGACTGTTTGTTTAATTGCTCAGGAAATATTCCATTTCTCGCTTTTTTTATAACAATGACACGTTCCATATCGGTTTGAAATTTCGAAAGAAGTTCTAATAATACAATGCCAAGGCTATAAATATCACTTTTTGGATTACAATCACCTAGTAATTGCTCGGGGGCAGCATACATTTCTGTTCCTAAAGCAATTCCTCTATGATTATCTTGCAAAGGGCATGCTAAACCGAAATCTCCTAACTGCGCGTTTAATTTTCCATTTTCTAATTTTAAAAAAATGTTGCTAGGTTTTATATCATGATGTATAATATCTTTTGAATGAATATAATCAATACCGCACAAAATTTGAAAAAATATGTCATAAGTGATATCAAAATGATTAAGTTCATAATTTTCCATAAAAAAACCACGATAAAATTCTTCAAATGATAAACTTTGGTTTCTTTCATTAAGCCATTTCGTTAGAGTTAATTGGCAAAGTGACATTTGAATATATAAAATTGCTGACCTTTTTTTATTAACTATGTCCGATCTGCTTTGGTATTTGCAAACAGTTTTCCTTTTAATTGATTTTTCATTCTTCGTACTATTAGATATTTCTATTTCATGAACACTGTTAAAACTATTTTCTACAGAGGATTTTTCAAACTGAATAAAATCAGAGGAACTATCGCTATCTTCTTTGGAAACACAATTTAGATTGTCACTGAAGTTATCAATTGTATCCAGAGAATTCTGATTTTTCAATATACTGACTTTCTTTTTATGTTTATAATCATAATCTGGTTCGAGCCACGCAGCTTTATATTGTACTATGTTAGGATGACTTAGTTTGGCTATTGTTTTAACTTCAGCTAAATGACATAATTTTATTGTAGTTGAATTAATTTTGATTTGCTTAATAGCATACTCAATGCAATCTAATTTATGTTTTGCTTTGAATACTTTTCCGAAACCACCACTTGCAATAAATGATAACTCATCAAACTCTCGTTTGTATCTAGACCAACAGGTTTCGACGTTTTCTTGTTTTTTTGCTGCTGGTAATTGAATAGGAATATCTTGACCTCTAGCTGCACATATAATTTTGTATATCTGCATTTGATATTGACCTCGAATTTCTTCAAATTCTTTTAAGGAATGAGAATCATCAATAAGGCTAACTGCTTCTAATTGCTCACATATTGCTTTATATGAAGTTGTTGCATTATTTGGATCATCATCTAAAAGCATACATAATAGTTGTACCAAACTTTCTATCAAAAGACTATTCGATGTGGAAGCAGTAGAACATGGTAAAATTTCATCTAAATTTCTTAAACTTGTTTCATTTGTAATTGTGGAAAATTTATTTACGTTGAAATCTTTACTTATTTTATTTACTTTTTCTATATTTTCATCAAATTTTGCTACGGTTTTCAAGTTATCCCAATCCATTTCTCACAGTGTGTGTAAACATCTGAAAATTGAGTATTATCACTTAGAAGTATAAATAAAAAATTTCTATTGCGGTTAAATAAAAAAAATTTTCTATTAGATTATTATGTACCGAATAAACAAAACTTCAAAACTAGCCATATAAATGAAGTTAGCAGAAACAACCTACGTTAGCAATTACTACTATGTGACAGCTTTTAAGTTATTGTCTTCTTTATTAATACGTACACCTATTGATTTATAAAATTGACATTGGGGTCTTTTTATTCGCTATTGGGATTTTCTAGTTAAATACTCATTTTTTCGTAAAAAACTTTACTTTAGAAAACAAAAACACTTAGATTAAAAAGCTCTTGTTAATCTAATTGTAAGGTGCATTTTGTTTTTGGTTTCCTGTTTGAATAAAAATAAAATTGATTGTGAGACCGAAATCGAAAACCTGTAATCAAAATGATTTTAAAATCGAAAATAAAAAGCGATCTCCTATAAAACCGGCACCTGATGGTTACTCTACTCATTGGGAACCATGCAATATATCCGAAGTTATAAGCATTTATTTAAATGACTTTTTTGACTCCTACCTTTGTTTTACAACAGGCTGTAACCCGAAATCGAGTATACATGCACTGTACACAATTTTTTTCTGAAAACTAATCAAAAAATTATCCCTGAATTATTTTTGTAATTACAAAACAAGCTACTGTTTTGAGGGACGGTAATGGTATTAAATTTTTTAATTTAAAATAGGACGACTCAAAAAATGGAGTTCTATTGTGTAATTACAAAAATTTTATTCTGTATAGTACATACTATAAACTATGTATATACGCGATAGTGTAATTATTGTGTCACTAGAATAATGGGGCTGATACGTCTCTTTGTAACACAAGTAGCATAATACCTTAAAAAGTAACACATTTACTACAATGCCTTACTAGCTGAAGTAGTATCCCTGTCTGAGATAATTTTATGATATTACGTCAAAACAATGCCTTTTTTTCTGCAACACAAGTGAATTAAGGAAGAATACCACATTTTTTTCCAAAGCAATTTTCAACATTTTTTGTTTTAAACGTGAAAATAATACAGTAAAATGGGTCGAACAAATAGGTCTAGAAAACGCAGGGACGAAATGAATAGAATTAAGAGAGAAAGATATGCAAAAAAGGAACTAATTAGATTAAAGAAAACACTTGGTATAATTGATCAAGGTGATGAGATTATGAAAGAAGTAGAAGAAATTGCAATTATCAAAAGTGCGAAAGAAATAAAAAATGCAAAGAAAAATGAAGATAAATTGTTACGACTTGAATTAGATGAAGAACATAGCAAAGGAGAAATTGTAGAAGTTACGAATGAAAAAACAGGAAAAGTACAAAAGTTTAATACCAAAACTATGAAAGATCAAAATGGTAAATTTCCGACATGGTACAAACCGAGAAAAACTCCAAAAAAAATACGCAAAATGGATCACGCTAGGAAGCTAAAGTTTAAGCAGCAATGGACAACTACGAACGTTCCACTATGAAAATTTCAAATATAATTTAAAACAAGATATACCGGACCCATGTGTTTTTATTTGAAGTATTTCCAGAGTTCTCATCTAACTTCCGACTTTTTAGATAGATTATTAATAACTTGCAGTAGAGAAAGATAGTTAAAAATTTTTTTTTTCTATTTAACTTAGAGTTCAAATAACTTTCGTGAAAATATATACTTAAAAGAGCTTCAAATCAATGTAAAAGTGCATAATATTCATTCTCTGAATTCCGGCCTTTTTTGTTTTAAGGTACACTGCTCTATCACAAAAAGAAAAGCAAAATATGTACTGTCAACGAAACCTTGTTTGGTTTACTAAATCAAATACAATGAAAGCGACTAAAAGACTACATGACCGTTCTTTTTGTATGTTTGCAGTTGAATGTAGTACAAAGAAATTAAACTTTTTCGATCACGGCCTTTCTATAACAAAATCATCAAGAATAAAGCTCAAAAATTTATTTATATAAAAATCTTTTAATGATTTCATATGCAAATGACTAAAACATAAAAGGACGTTGAAAATTCTTCTTTCATATTCATCTTTTTTTAAATCAGGAAAATGAGTTACTCTACCTAGGCGGTGGCTTTATACTTACCAGTGCAGTGAAAGTATATATGCGACTTATTTTTTAAAAAACTTCATTTTTAAAAGAGGTTGCTAGTCTTGGAAGGTGCGTATTAGTGCTGTGAGGAAGGTTTTTTCAATGGAAATTGTACATTTTACTTGAGCCCCACTCGGACCAAATATTTTTATTGTCCAACACAAATCAAAACCCATAATAGAAAAATTAACATTTAACAAGTCTACAAATCAAACATTGTTTCAAGCAACGTCACATATTTTTACGATAGACAACATAACGTAACGCAAACATAATCTCAATAGTGCTGCCGCTGTTGTCTGAAATATTACTTAACGTTTGTGTACTGATGGTGACGTTATGCAATAATCTTATACCTACAATTTAATATTATGAAAATTCTCTATGTGCTCACGACAAGTGTTTAATTGAACCGTATGTTCTTAGTTTTTTTGTCGGTAAAACATATTTTGCTGTATAAAAGTTTCATATTTGCTAGTGTAATGTCTTTATATCTAACAAGTCCCAATGCTCAGAGAGAAACTTGAAAGCACACCTTATTTTATATGGCCTTTTTTAAATCGAAGTGGCTATTTTTTGAGAAGAAATATTAAAATAAATTCACACTTATTATAAAGCAGGTAAAATTTAGAACATATATTTGAAAAATCAAAAAAATATATTAATATTTTCATTGATAATTATTTTAAAATTTAAAAAAAAGCGGAAAAACAACAAACACAACCTTCGCCTTCAACGTTTTATTTGTTACTGAAAGCATTTCATTATTTTTAAGTGAACAGCTTTTTTTTCTCATAGGGTAAGTTAACGCAAGATATGGGAAGTACCTGTGGTGTCAAGTTGAAAATATAATTAATGAAAGATAATTCTTAAATATTGATATAAATACATAGTAAAGAAAAAATTTGAAGAGGGAATTAGAAAATAATATCTAAAATACAATCAAATATTATTTGTTAAATACAAATTTTATATAAACTTCAAAATTTTACCTCTATTTTTATTTGAAAAAATATTAAAAACTTACTATCATTTATATCAATTACCTAAGAAAAAAAAATATTTAAAATGTTTGGAAAAAACAATCATATATTTTTATGACCGGATTTGAATATTTTTCTATTTTTGAAATAAATGGTATTTTACCAAATGACTCGAAAATTCCGACTGTAAAATAACAGGTATTTTTAAATTTTTGTTCAGGTATTTTAAAATTCTTTCCGTTTAGAATTAAGATAAGTCATACATACACATGCAGGGACATTTTATAAATAGATTGCTCTTGTTTACCTGCTAATAAAATATGAAAAAAGAGCACAGCAAAATTTTTGAAGCACTCAATATAACATGTTTGAAATAGTTTTAAAATAATTATTTAAAAAAAAATTTATTGGAAGTAGGTACATACATATTTATTTTTAATAATTTAAAAACTAACTGAAATTATTTGAAACAATTTTATAAGTAACGTATGAATAATCGAAATGAGATAATTCAAATTGTTGAAATGTGTCAACCTATATTATTTTTACTAAAATTTTTGTTAGCCGACACTACTCAACTTACCTTATTGGGAAATACAAAATGTGCATAAAAAATCATACATCCTTCCTCATTAACATTTGAAACCATACTGAAATATGAATTTGAATTTTTTTTTCATTTTTTCTTTCCTCCTACCTTTCTTTCTTTTTCGTGCAATAGAATTTAAATGGGAAGCTTTTTAAAAAATGTGTATAATATCCTGAGATTTTTTAAAATATTAATCTCTTTTTTACGTAAAAAAAAAGAAAAAAATAATAAAAAATATGACACGATCAGTGGCATTTAAAGAAAAAACCAACAACGAGGCCAAAAATTCGTAACATTTCGTAAAAAAAATTGAGTATTGGGACTTGTTAGATATAAAGACATTAGCTAGTGTTTTTTGGATAATTTTTAACATCCACCATTTTTAATAAATTTGACGTAATCGAGAAAATATTTTAGATGGAGTCTATAAATAAGTTCTTTTTTTGGCTGTCAATGCTATGTTATTCAATAGACTTTTAAAATATCAGACTATGTTAAAATAAACATTTCAAGCACGGCTGACAGAAATATGGTATTTTTGTTTAGTCAAGATTTCAAAGAAATAAAAAATCAATTACATACATACGTTTGGTCGTTTTGTTCCCTTATTGACGCATTCCAGTTCCAACTCTGACACGGCGTAGCCTACTGTTAAAAAAATATTTTTTATAAAATTAGTCATAAATTTTTTAGATATCAAGTGTTTTATTTTAATATTTATAAAAAGGAAACTGTTTATTTTAAATAGTTTTGAGAATATATATTAATTATAATGGTGATTAAAGTTTTTGTCAGTGGTCTTTCGGGAAATAAAGAAGTAAGCATTGGTTTCAGAAAAGTGATTTGGTTTATTTTATTACCAATTTATGAATTCATTCATTAAGCAGCACTAGAATTTTATAAGATAAGCTTATTATTTAATTAAATTTGTTTAATTCGAATATTAAACGCTTCATTTCGATAAATTTATGTAAAAAAAAAATCTTTAAAATAAAACTTTTTGACAGCTCTAAGTAAAATTTTGTACCATTTATGGGGTGAAATAAAAAAAATATCCATAAAAATATGTGATGTATTTTATTCGATTTCAACATAAAAATCGAAACTATAGAAATTAATTATGTTATGTTATTCTTTTTTACTTATGCATTTCATGTTGTATGAAATAGAGTTTAAATTTTTTCACGTGTATTTAAAGAGCCAATATTTTGTATTTTAGGTAAAGAAACGCCAACAACGAGTCTTAATGATATTGGAAAGCAAGAATATTAAATATGAATGCGTTGATATTACAGAACCAGGAAAAGAGACTGAGAGAGAGTTCATGCAAACCAATTCAACAAGCAATGGAGGCACCATAAGTATGTATTACGCTAATTTTAATCATGGTTGGTATAAGAATTTCTGATAAAATAGAAATTTTCTAAAATTTCCTTCAGTAAATTTTTCGTTTTCTGTACACTGTGTATTTAAAGATAATTAAATTTTAAATTTTTATAGGTGATCCTAATCCCCGTCACCCTTTACCACCACAAATATTTAGTGATGACACATATTGTGGAGACTATGATGCTTTTGATTTAGCCAACGAAAATGATCAACTGGAAATTTTTTGTAAAATGGAACCACCGGCTGAAAGTATTTCATCTGCCCAAATAGAACTTAAAACAGATGGTCAGAAAGGTGCTGAAAACGAAGAGAAAACCCCTGATGAAAATGGAACTACTGAAGAAAACGAAGGAATTAAGGAGGTTTGAATTCTTTATTTTGTGTGAATTCTTTAAATAACTTCAACAAAAAAAAAACATTCCATCAAAAAGAATATGAATGTCATATATATAAACATTTATTTATATATGTTATATATGTATAATGATAATTGCAAACTTATACGACAAGAAACTAATTTTATTATAAAATTAATTTCAAATCTTAATCTAAGTATTTTTATACTTTTTTAATAAATAATATAAAACATACATAGTACGTTATTTGTTAAAACAAAATGTATAACGTTTTGTATATCCTAAAAATTATACACAATTAATAAATAAATATACCTACCTACTTATGGATTGCATGAAATGATTAATATAGTTTTATCGATTCGCTAATACAAAAATAATTAGCTGAGAATTTATGTACTAATATAGAAAAATGTATACAATACAATTTAAACAAAAATTTAGTTGTTTTTTATTACCATTAGTTGTAAACATTAACCATTTTGATGTGTGCATTATTTTAACCAATTTGAGTAATAGAAATGCAGATAAATTTTCACATTAAATAATTTTCGTATAAACAATAACTCTATACACCTTCCTACATATTTTAAACTGTTGAATATTAAAAAATTGTTTAATATGAAACTTTATGTATTTAATTTAATTAATTTACATTCCTTTTACATTTAGTCGACTTATTATTAATTTTTCTAATACTTATTGATAAAAGAATATCACATATAAATTAAAATATTTATATCTGATAAGAATATTAAAATTTAATAAGAAGAACGTGTGCTAATTATAAAATTTATGTAACATTTTCAACAAGTTTCGATTTAGTTTGCTAGTACAGTACGCCATTATATCAAATTATGTTTTTAAAAATAACAAAAATCTATATAAACGAATTTGAATTCAATTAAATAAATAAATTAAAAAATATATTTGATTGTTGTTTTTGTCGCATTTCCGATTTTTATACTAAACTTTAGCGGACGTATTTGCTTGTCTTTAATGGAATAACTTGATTTATTGTAATATTTAAGAATACTAATTTGTTTATTTTTACCATGTAATGTTTAATGTTCGGACCATTTTTAAATATATAAAATATGATGGATACTTAAAAAATTATTAAAAGAATGGAGATGTAAAAGAGGAAGAAAGTGAAAATACGTTAGAAAATGATAAAAACGATCCCAAGAATGATGAAAATAGTAAAGAAAATGGTGATAAAAAAGAAAATGATAAAGAGGAAAATGAAAAGGAAAACGGTAGTAAAGAGGAAAATGAAAAGGAAAACGATGAAGTAGAAAATGGTAATGAAAAAGAAAATGGCAATGAAGAGGAAGCTGTTAAGGAAAACGAAAACGATGATAAAAAGGAAAATGATGATGAAAAAGAAAATAGCGACGAAGAAGAAAATGACAATGAAAACGAAACTGATGATAAAGTTCAAAAGGATTCGATAAAAGAATCTGATGACAAAGGAACCAATGACGAAGCTGAAAATGAAAAAACGGTAGATGAAGACGAAGAAAGTAAAAGTGATGTCCATGATGAAGATTCTGAAAATAAAGACGAAAGTAAAGTCGATAATAAAAAGCAGGAGGTTTGAATTCAATCAAAATTAAAATAAATCGACACATTAATATTCTTGCTAACAACGACCCCAAACGCAAAAGATTCTATCCATCTGTCTAAGTGTAAATGATAAAAACAATTAGGAGTAAAAAGAATTGCCAATGAATTCACTTGTAAACTATTTCTACGTCTTAGTTAAAAATTGATTAGAAACTCGTTCATTTAATAACAAAAATATAAAATCAAAAATAAATCTATATAATGTATAGATAATTTAATAATATAATTTTTCACTTTCAAAAAATTGATTTTCTTATAAATTATTACAAGAATTTATTTCTGTTTCTTTTATTAAATGAATAAGTTTCCACTGTGTTTTGAACTAAAAAAATGAAAGTGCTATAAAATACAAGTAATTCCATTGGTAATTATTTCAACTTTTGCTTTTATCATTTACTTATAGATTTTTAAAATTTAATGGGTGCATCAATTATCTTACGTTTGGGCTCGTAATACTTTTAAATAGCTATTATTAGTACTTATTAACCTTCTTCCTTTAATTCCGCATTGACATTACTAATAAGAACTAATACTTAATATAAAATATCTGTATAGATAAAATTCTTTCTTTAAAAATAATAATTTTATCTGTTTTTTATGTATAATTTTAGAGAAAAAAAATAAAAGTTAATTTCAAAATAATTCTTAATATCAATTTAAAAAATGGAAAAAAAGATTAAGTTTTAAAGTTACTTCTCAAATTCTGAATTCGGACATACAACAAAATGACACAAAAGCATATGTACATGTACCTTCTTCAAATTCTCATTTTAATTTTAATATTTTTCATGTTTGATTCTACAATCAAAACTTTTCATTTAAAAAATTAATTTTTTCAAAAAACATAATCTTCTTTAAAAATTCTAAAACTACAAAGTTTTCAACCATATTTCAATAATTGTAGCTGAAACGTAAATAAAAATAACACAATTTTGTTTCCGGATATGCGTGAAAGCATAAATATTAAGTTTTGTATTAAATATGATATAAATTTTAATATCTAATAATTAACGAAATATTTATATGTTTTTTGTTTCTTAACTAAATTTATTATTCCTTTGTATCAGTTAATTAAATCAAATAGTATTTAAATATTTATTAAAACTTTTAAGAAAAATTGCTAATTTTTAAGGGTTAACCAAATAACATTTTAAAAGTTAGTCGAACTTATGTTCGTATTCACAGATATTCTCTTCGACGCATCACTTAATTGATCTGGTATTCAACATTTTATAATTTTCAAAATTAACTGAATTTCGAAATACGAATTTATCTTACCAACAACTTCAATATTTTAAAATAATAATCCTCCATTTTCAGTGCTGCGTCTAAGAGAATTTCGGTGATTTTGCTTACAGATCGCGAAAATTCTTGTAATTATATGTAGGTATCCTATTAACTCGTCAATGTAACACAATTAGTTATGAATTATGATATAATCATTTAAATGTGTGTACATACTTACATGTATAAGAAATTATACATTAGAATATCCACTAACATATCCTTCATATATATTATTTTCATTTAATTTCTTTACCAACATTACACAAAATTTCTATATTCAAAATCATGTGAAAAAAAAGAGTAAGAATGAAGCTGGTGAAAGTGAGAACAAAGACGAAGAAACTAAAAAAGAAGACGCCGAAAACCCTGATAAACTTATTGATTCACAATCAGATGAATCAGAAGATGAAAGTGAAGAAGAGAGCATTGAAAACAATCAAAAAAGTAATGTTTCAACAGAAGAGGTTTGCAAAAAAAATTTTAAATCAGCGCACGCACTTTCTTCATCTCGACTGCTTTATAAAACAAAATATAAGAGCTTTTTTTTTTATTCAGAGTATAAGTTGATTTTATTTTGCTTGTTTTGTTTGAAATTATTACATATTTTAACAAGACGGTAATGTGCCTAATTTTTCATATACTTTCTTTTTACAAATTTTCTTTCTATTTTTCTAAAAAATTTTCTATTTCTTAAATTTTAATTATTTGTTTTAAATTTAAAAATAATATTTTTCATTTTATTCGTTTTTTTTTTCAATATTTTTGCTTTTATTTTTTTTAGAATGATGTTAAAACAAATGGTACAAGTTCAAGAGAAGGTTCTGAAGAAAAGGAATCTAGTTCAGAAACGAAAGAAGAATAATATGAATTTTATTGAAACGAAAAACAATTAAAAAATATAATAAACCTATACATATATTTTAAGTTTAAAAAAGTCTTCATATACGGGCTATATATTTAATTTTTAAATGAATTGTTTAAACAATATTATATTACTTATTTGGCTGTAAATTTTCCTTTTTCGTTATAATTATTATAAAAGTAATTTCAAAAGAAATATAAATTTAATTTTGAAATTAAATCAATTTTAAATTTTGGTTGTTCTTTTAATATAATATTTTAGTACTCTAATCAAAGATTGAAGCATTTTTTAAAATTATCGTACACAATATTGTACATAAATAAAAAAATAATGAAGATTAAAAATATTATGTGTACATAGCTCAAAATTTTAAATTTTTAAAAATTTAGTTCAGCATTTAATTTTAATCCAATGAGCACAATTTGAAAAATTCTGATTGTATTCAAAATATTTCAACTATTTGGGTAAATCAAAATCATATATTGTTGAAGTAAATTGAATTTATTTCTTATTTTTTTTTTCTTACTAATTATGCAAAGATCACGTGAAACTTATAGATGAAAACTTAAATCAAAAATCACAAAAATTTAATTTTTTCTATATAAAAGTAATATTCTTATCCTGAATATATAATTTCAATTAAGGACACCTAGGTCGATGGAAGCCTCTGTTCGGGGCTTTAAATCTTTGTGATCTTGGCTGACGTATTGTATGTGGATGATATCTGGAATTATGAACAGGGAGCGGATACCGTGGAACAACAGCCATTGGCGCAAAAGGTGTCATTATAGAACCAGGAAATCTTGGTATGAAGCCAGGAAATCTCTGTGGAGCGATTGGAACAATTGGTGGCATCCAATTTGGCGTCCCCTTTTTAACAAAGAAAAAATTTTTGAACTAGCTTTAAAAACAATAAACTTATATACAAACATAAAAATAATCAGATGAACTTGGTGTTGCAATCATCACAGGAAACATAGAAGGCATAACAGATGCATTTCTCATTCTATATTTATCTCTTGATCTTGATCTTGATCTTGTCCTGCTTCTCGTTCGTCTATATGATATGCTTCTAGATCTACGATGGCGATCACTACTACGTCGACGCTTTCTGTGGTGTGAACGTTGTCTTGAATTACTCCGGCTCCTTCTATAAGATCGTGGAGATTTTCTATCGCTTATTTTATCTTTACTTTCTCGATTGTGCTTTTCTTTTTTAATTTTTTTCGCACTTAGTTTCCATTTCCGTTCCAACCGTTCTTCCTCTCGTTTTTCATCTGCAAAATACGGTATTTTTTCTTTCTTTGTGCTTCTTCGTTTTTCTGGACTTGATGACTTAAAGTTTCTCTCCCTTTTTTGATTATTTATATTTTTTTCAGTATCGCGGTAACGTTCAGGACTACTTGACGACTTTTCAATTATACAAAAATTTAACGCAAATTTTGATTAGCTATTTTTGAATGTTTATCATAAAAATATACTAACCGAAGAAGAAAAACCCTTTCTGAAACAAGATTTTTGAGTAGACTTATAATCACTAGTGTTCAAAACTTGCTGTACACAAGGTGGTTTATTTCCTTCATCTAAAATTTTTTATTTTAAAAAAAGAAAAAAAAGCAATAGTTAATTGATGAAATATTGTTGAAGCTGGAAGTTAAGGAGACATTCGCGAAAACCATTTTCAACATCTAAAAAGTTTTAAAACAAAAGAGATTCTTATTTACACAATTTTATAATTCAAAAAGCAATCAAAAATAATTTTCTTAAGTTGATTGAAGAGGATTAATATCTGTTAATTAATTTATTATTTAAGCACATATATTTGATTAATCACTTTTTAGGGATTGTTTTAAAAATAATTGTTGATTGAAGAATGACTTCCGAAAAGTACTGTGAAAACAGATGATTTATCACATTTCACACTTACTCTCATTTTAATGTATAACATCTTTGAAATATATATTTATATTTTAACAGCATCCTGGTTGACTGGAATGACAATTTCTAAAGCAAATGTTGATTGAAGATTCAGATGTTAGTTGATTGTAGCAAAAGTTGCTTGAAGAGTTGAAATGTTTAATAGGTACCTAAAATATTTTTTTAATACATATGGTTTGCGATTACAATATAAAGAGTTAAATGTGCCTTTTGTCATGCATTTAAAATTAGTTTTCTTTAGTATTGAACTTTACCTTAAAAGAAATTAATATTAATTTGAAGAGTTGATTGGAGATTCAAACTTTATGTTTAAGTATTCCCAAAGCCTCGTCTTCTGAATTGGTTGCTTGAAGTTTTTTATTCTTTGTTTCGAAAATTCCAATATTTATATTTTTCAAAACATTTAATTCAAAATTAAAGTAACAAAGAAGATATTATATTATACAATTTAAAATTCTTTAATATCACTATTATAAACCGATATAATATCACAAGATGTACATAATGCTCAGGTATACATATGTATGTATGAAAAACCACAAAAAATTACCATATCTTCGGGATATAACAATTTCATCAGAATCTATAGAATGTTTTGCACATTTCGTCGGTTGCCTGGTGGAGCTAGCCGTTTTATTGATTGTGTGTTTGCCTGTTGATGTTGAATGCTTGTCTAGCGTTGAAGTAGAAAACACTTCATTTTCAGTAGCACGATTCCTAGAAATCTCTCTGTTTGTAAATATATATGTACATAACTATATTTACTTCAAAATAGGTTCTAAAAAGCTTACTTTTGTTTGTTCATTTAAACAATTTTCAAATCTATATTTTTTTAATACTAAGTTTATAAAATTCACACACTTTTATATCATAAGTTTAACTTAATAAAGTAAAAAGTAAAAAAGCGATGCCGCTATAGTATGCTCTGTGATTCTGTAAACTGTCAAATTGCACTAATGCACTCAGTTGTCGTACTTATGAGTGTTACCGTATTATAGTGAATTTTTTATAAGACAAGACTTTCCCCAGCACGTAAATTATTTTCGAGAAACGAAGAATGACATATGAAAATATCTCGACATTCCAAATCGCCAAAATTCTTAAATATTATTTCCTTACTTAATGCATACTAACCAGCTTCTTCTTCTTTGTTTTTGATTTAATTTTTCATTTATCAAATTTACGATTTCGCTTGAAATCGTAAATTTTGGATCCAAAAAAATACTTTGAATGAGATTACTGATTTGCTGTCGAATTAGTTTGACAACAAATTGCAAATGTAGTTTACTTGAAGTTTTGAACTTTCAAGTAAAATGCGGGTAGATAAACAATCAAAACAACTACAGCATTTCAAACAAATTAAAATTTTATTTCCTCGAATATTAACGTAGACAATTGTAATATACATACATACATATTTATGTAAGTACATATACATGTTTTTTATATCACATATAGAAAAAAGTATGTACATATGTATGTTTACATACCTATCCATTTACTGATAAATGCTGTTAATCTAGCTTTCTCCGCTTGAAGTCCCGTATCACATAGAGTTGATCATCTTCAATTTCTGAATCGGAACTCTGTAACAATGAGTCAGAAGGCCTTTTTAAAATTTCTTCAAAATCTCTTTTTTTCTTTAGCTGCAAAAGATTTTCATAGACCTTTTCAATTTCTAAAAATTTGTATCCAGTCATAACAAACAGGTCGTTATTCCATTTTGATAGTTCGAAAGACTTTCTTACAGCTGCCAAGCATGCTGCAGCGGTTATGGATGGTACTGCTTGAACTAAACTTTGATCTAAAAATTTAAAATTACATATATGTATGTATATTTTTATATAAATACATACTTATTTGACTCGGGTTATAACAACAAATTTACAATCCAAAATTTTTATATTTTTGAACAAAGTTAGCTTACCCTGCAAAATTAAGTCAAGAAACGCAAATATGAGTGAACTCGCTTCATTTAAAATTTCATTTTCATTTGTTAAATTTCGTTTGTTGCTCTCTAATAATTGCAACATATCTGTTTTATTCAAAAAATTTGAGACATAGTATTCCTGCCAAATAGAGAAACTTTAAATTTTTCAGCAGCAAGTATTAAAAAAAGTTATACCAAATATGTTGCAGCTGAAGGGAATAATAAATACCATTCAAAAAATTGTAATAATTTTACTTCCACATTTTTAAATTCTTTAATTGAATTAGATCTACAAATTTTTCTTAATCTGTCTAACTTGGGAACATTAGAATCCCTTTCTTCCACTTTTGAAGCTAAAAGCAGGCATGTCAAAGCTACTACATTCAGTTTTGTTTCAGGTATAAAACAAGTATCCATAAAAACGTCAAGAAGATAAACAGCTGAAAAGTTATTTTTAGTATTTAAATAAATTCATTTCACAAGTTACACCTAAATGAACAGTTGTGCGTCCTAATGTTAAAATCTCAGCGCTATATTTTATCACTTGAACCAAACTTGTTCTAAATTGTTTTTGAGTAGAGTCGTAATTAATTATTTTGCGTTTCTTTTCCACTTCCTTTAGAGTTTCAATTATTTCATTTGAATATTCGGAGCACCATATAAAATTCACATTTTCCTAAACAAATTACAATAATTTATATTTGAAAATTTTTTTTTGAATCTCATATTTACAACTGCATATTTCAGAGGACGTAATTCTGACCAAACAGGTTTTAAGGTTGTTAATTGCGGTGAATTTCTCTTTAAAAAAAAATTTGAATCATTCAAAAAACATGTGTAATTGTTTGTAGATAAATCAATTGACTGTTGAAAAATGAACAACTCTTCGTTCTTATCGAAAAAATTTTCCATTACTAGATGATAAATATAAATAATTTGTGAATTTAAATTTTGTTTAAAGTGATATGTATTTTTACGAATTTGATACTAAATATGTATGTATACATATTTAAAAACGTCATAATTCAATCCCAGAAGAAAAACCGTTAATTTTTGTCAAAATATAATATGAAAAATTAATAAACAAAATAAAACAACATATGTACTTATGTACGTCAAAATATTTTTATTATCCCGATAAAAACCACGAAATTTTCTGGTAATAAATGATAGTGAGGAGAATTGAGTTTTATTTTTATTATCAAGTCTAACCTCAATTGCCTTTTTTTTTACATCGCCTGTAAAATTTTTATTGTTGATAATGTTTTGAAAATAAGAACCTTGTCATGGTAGACGAAACAAATAATATTTTTAATACTCTGATTTTTAGAAATGGCCTAAATTTTAAAATTTATCTATTAATAGATATACTTTGGTCTTGAGTGTCGCTTTATGTATGAAAGGCCTTATTTTTGAAAGAAATCGTTACTCATGGAATGTACACATTAGTGTCGTGAGAGGTATTTTTCCAATGCAAATTGTACATTTTTGTGCATTTTGCTTGTGCCGCACGCGGACAAAGTGTATGCAACTCTTTGAAAAATGGATTTACATTTTTACAAATGTCATTTTATATCAAAAATTCGTAAAATATACGTTAGGCAGGGTTTACAAATCAAGCAAAATTATACGATTAATTTGAAACGATCAGAATTTTAAATCTTAAAATCTCTTTGATTTGTAAACACCAGACCCAATCAAACTAAATAAGAAAAGTAGAATTTTCTTATTTTTCATTCATTTTTTTGACAATTGAAAGAATTAAAAATGGTTAATAAAATTTTTTATGTATTGTAAGTGTGATGAACTTATTTTAATTTTTTTTATTACCTAGTGTTAGTTGTTTTTCAAAATGTTTTTAAGCAAAAATAATTTGTGAGACAATTTGATAGAATTTATTTTTGAATTCGAGTCTTTGGAATCTAGAAAAAGAAGATTATAAGAATCTAAATACAAAACAAGTCATATAAGGAGCTATCAAACAAATCAAAACTCCCTGGACAATAACAACATACAATAAGTAATTCTAAAAGGTAGTTTTAATAGTATATTCCATTTCAATTTTGGTTTTAATGGTTTATTGTAAAATTGGTAACATATTTTGTGTAATTAAATTTGAATTTCGATTAGTTGTACGACTTAGTCGTCCAAGCTTGCTTAGTTTGCAAATCTCCTTACGATTAAAGAGTTATGTACGTATTTAAATAAAATAACTCTATTTTTTGATTATCTTTATTTACTTTTTCATTTATTAATTTTATAAAAATGGCTTTAAACACTATCAAAAACTTATCAAGATATAACTTAATCAAATTAAAGATAAGTTTTTATTTATTTTAATTAAAAACTTACATGTCTCGTAAAACTAATATTTTTGTAACACAATTTTTTTGTTTTACACATCATTGCAAATGTTTTTTTATGATGCTAATAATAATAATAGTGTTTGTAGTTTTTTTTTACTATAGCTATTAGAGTTCTCAGTTTTGGCTATAATTTCAATTCAGTAGTAGATATTTGACTGAGAAAGCATTTTTATATATATGTATGTATATAATTGTATGTTATTCAATTCACTTGTAAATTATTTAATAAAAAAAAAAAAATAAAAAAAAAAAAGACAAATTCAAAAATTTAAATGATTAATTTTTTTTGAAAAAAGTAATTTTTGTTTAATTTTTTCATTGTTGAAATAAACCCAAAATAAAACTTAAGTGCTTTTTTTATTCTAAATCCATTTATAAGTAATGCGCTAGAAATTCCTCAAATTAGTCTAAAAAATCTTCGCAAAAACAAAAATATGGACATATAATTAATGTTTAACAATATCAAATTGATTTTGCTTCATAATTATAGATTTTATTCGCGTTACATAATTTGAAAATGTTGGATAGAAATAATAAATCAATTTATGAACACTATTCAAATCAAAAACGTTTGCCACTGTATACATTATAAAAGGCATATTACGTTAAGGATTTTATACAAGATGCAGCACTCTAAGCTAGAGACAATTTTATTTTATAAAATAAAATATAACTTATTATATTAATTTATAAATGTATGTATGTTTTTTTTTCTTTTATAAATTTGCTATGTATTTATTTTCAATTTTAGAATAAAGATCATTGTTTTGACTAAGTCTAAGTTAATCTTGGTTATTCGCCTTTTTTTTGTAGTTATGCAAGTTTTATGCAAATTATGTTTATATAACTACGAACAAAATTTATGAAAAAAAAATCCTTATAAATAAGAGTTGGAATAAAAAATATACGATTCTATTAAATTAATTATTGTTTTTGTCTTGATCTCTTTTTTGTCAAAATTCTAATATTTTTAATTTTGTAATTCTATTATGTACTATGTATGTATTTTTATTTATGCATCATTTTTATTGATTTTATAAATTATTTTAGCGAAACTGTGTATAGAAAAAGTAATTTAAGGTTTTGAAGTAAAATATTAGATTTATAAATTCTAGCGACTAGATTTAGTTCGCTAAGTGAGCTGTATTACGAGAGATCTGTAATAAAATTAAATAAATTAGAATTAAATGATTTTAAAAGTATTATAAACATAATATAATATATTATTAACGGAATTCAAACTAAACTTTAATTTTGAATATGTTATACCTTAAGTTACTTAATAACAAAAAATTACTTACAACTTGGAGCAGCTTCGTATCGTCTTTGTATTTGATCATAAGTAAATTTAACAAAAGCATCATATTGTTCCGCTAATTTGGTTGTAAGAACTGCATCATATTGTTCACGTAATGCATCTTCTCTTTCCTTTAACATGCGTTCACAAATCAATTGCACCTTAAATTTGTTGAACAATTTAGGTTTATGAAGTTGCTATTTTAAACGTTAATTTACCTGTTTGAAAGTAAATAAAGCCTTTTCGGGATTTCTAATTAAACCTGCCGGGCTCTCAGGTCGACGTGGGCTATCGGGTCCCATTTCAGAACCACTTGATTCCGAATCTTGCATACGTTCCAAGCTACTAGCTGAAAATGGCAACTGCTTGCGTTTATGTAAACGTTTTATTTCATCACGGATATTTTGCGCCATTTTATCTACGTGTTATTTTATTTAAAAAGATTAATAGGCATAATTTTACGCAAGTTTTGAAACTAAAATTACCTGGTGAAAGTTTTACCAAAGTTGCTTCCGCAAAAGGACTAGGCTGGTCATTCGTTCGTCTGTATGGGCTTTGTAAATTTGAAGTAGAATTTTGTTGACCAATGTTGCTATTAGATGTATGTGTTGGTGAAGTATTTCCGCTTTGTCCGAAGGGATTGCATCTTCTTCTTTTTGTTGGTCTTTGATTTAACGCCTCCCAATCTAATGACCGTTTAAGCGTGGCGCAAGCCATAGTAAATTAAAAATTTACACTATTTTTTTTTTTTTTCAAATATTTCCCACGGGGCAAATCACTAGTCTAACAATTAGTTTTCTCCTAAGCAGCTGTTTTAAATGTAAACAATAGAAACAGTTGTACCAACTGCTAAAAATAGACAATGAAGTACTTACATTTATATCATATAAGTCATAAATCAAGACGTATAAAAAAACATTTTCTAATTACAAAAAAAATCAGATTTAAATTAAATTTAACTTGGTTAGTTTTACCAAAAATATTGCTAAAAATCTTGAAAAAATCTTTCTACAAAGTTTTTTTTACACAAATTTTATATTTTGAGCTAGCAATATTGAAAAAAATATTTGCATTAAAATAAAATTAAAACCATAACTTAATATAAAAAAATTTTTAAATTACTTCTACACAATGGCTGAAAAAGACTTACCCCTTTAAAAATCCAAAATCAAATGGTTCTCAAGATGGCGAATAGAAATTGACATTATAACAAAGTGACACTAGCTGTGTTTATGTTGGTGCCATTCTCGCAATGTTCTCGCACGATTTGGCATTTGTGTAGCAATGCGCATAGATACTTAATTCCAGATAGTAAATATTTTTGAAAGTAAAAAGTTGTAAAGCTCATCAGCGGTACTCAACCCATTTTACTTCGCGGTTCTTCAAAAGAAAAGCCCCTTTCAAATGCAAAAAATGTGTTTATTTTTATATATTTTTTTGATAATTTTTCATGCAATAGAAAAAAAAGTGCAAAAAATTACTATCAAAATGGACTAAACTAACGGTAGTAAAATTTTATTACTTAAAATTTTCTAAAAGAATCCCATAAACATGTTTTATTTAACAAAGTTTTTTTTGTTTATAAAATTGTTATAGAAAAATTGTTTGACTTTTTTTTAAATAAATTACATGTAAATTTGATTAATTATAATCAAACTCATATAGAAAATTTGATAATTACAATTAACGAGTGCATGTACACGTTGTCCTTAGAATTGGGATATGATTTACAATAAACTGAATATACATAATGCACATATAAAGTGTGGGCCGATTTGCAAGAAAATACTCTCACTCTAGCATTATAAGCTACATACATATATAATTTTGTTATTATTGATTCCATATAAAAATTCACATGAAAATGTTAATTTTTTTATTTTATTTATTTTGGTACCATATTAGAGCTTCATTGTATTTTAAAAATGTAAAATGCATACATACAATACTAATCTCGTACAAGATACGTAATTTTTTATAATGCGTTATATTTTATAATAATGAAAAGCGTTCAAGATAGAAATTTGGTACCGTAAAATTGAGAGAAGTATGTTTTTTGAATAATTTTTTAAAGGAGAACAATATATCGATCAAAAAATTATTGATTTAGAAATTAAAAAAAAAATTTTTATATTTGTTTCCGTAATTATTAGCGTTTCCTTTGATTAATAATTTGAAGAGATAAATTTGTTTTCATAATTTTTTTAAACTATCAAATTTTATCTTGGACAGATCTATTGTGAATGTTTAATTAAAAGAACTTGGCAACATCAGTAATAAAATATTCTTAAGACTTTGAGCAAGCACGTGCATTATATATGTACTAATAAAACGTAAATAAATAAATTATTAGGATATTTTTTTAGAATTTTGACACGCCATAATGGATGAAGATAATTCATCTGAAAAAAAGAAAGCTCATCGGAAAAGAAACTCTGGAGTGAAAGCTGAAAAGAAGAAATTAAAATCTAAAGTTGTGGACGAAAATTTAACTGCACGGCAGAGGAATCCCAAAGCTTTTGCAATTAATTCAGCTAAACGAGCCGAATTGAAATTTCGTCGCAAAGAAGACTTAACTGCAAAAAAGCAACACATTCCTATAGTTGATAAAACACCGGACGAACCTCCTCCGGTTTTGGTTGCTGTTGTTGGTCCGCCAAAAGGTAAAATTTTGTTCTACTTGATCGAAAGTATATGTGTAATAATGCAATAATTTTAGTTGGAAAAACGACACTTGTGAAAAATTTGATACGAAACTTTACGAAAACAAATGTGACGGACATAAAAGGGCCAATAACAATTGTTACATCGAAAAAACGACGAATTACATTAGTGGAATGCAACAATGATATAAATTCTATGATAGATATTGCAAAGTGTGCGGATTTGGTACTTTTATTGTGCGATGCAAGTTTTGGCTTCGAAATGGAGATATTTGAATTTCTCAATATTTGCCAAGTTCACGGTATGCCGAAAATAATGGGAGTTTTAACCCATTTAGATGTAATAAAAAATGCTAAGACATTGAGACGGCGTAAAAAGGAACTGAAACACCGATTTTGGACAGAAGTGTACGATGGAGCTAAATTATTTTATTTATCAGGCATGATGCATGGCGAATACTTGCGCAATGAAATTAATAATTTAGGGAGATTTATATCCATAATAAAAATGCGACCACTAACTTGGCGAGGAGATCACGGTTACGTTTTAGCTGACCGTGTTGAAGATATAACAAATACTGAAATTGTCAGAGTAAATCCAAAATCTGATAGAGATATAGTTCTATATGGTTATGTCAGAGGTGCTCCATTTAAAGCAGAAAATCATGTTCATATAGCAGGATTGGGAGACATTCGAATGACCGAACTTAGTAAACTTGCTGATCCATGCCCTATACCTGGAACAGAAAAGAAAAGAACCCTTTTGGAAAAGGAAAGGCTTTTATATGCTCCGATGTCAGGAGTAGGAGGCATAATTTATGACAAAGATGCATTATACATTGAATTGCAAGGATCTCATAGTCATAAACAAAAAAACGCAGAAAATTCCGAACAAAATGTGCTAATGCAAAAAATTCAAGAAAAAAAAGTTCCTCTTGATATTCAAGTAGAAGAACAGAAATTTCGTTTGTTTTCTGATGGTGAAGTAATTGCTTCTAAGAATTTCAGTCATACAAATTATAAAACAGAAATCGAAAATATTGAAGATGAAAGCGATCAGCAAAGTCAAAGTGGAAGTTGTCCTATTAAAGATCAGTCTTTCCAAAACGATAATTTGCGTTCTGGATCTGAAGAGGAAGATAAATTAAAAGAAGAAGAAAGTTCGTCATCTAGTGAAGAGTACCAATCAGAATTGGATGATAATGAATATGTAGATTCAAGAGAAAATATTGAAATACCTAATTATTATGGAGACGTAAAATGGAAAGAAAATATAACTTCAGCAGTTAGGGAAAATTATTTGAAAAGACAATCGGAATCCCAAAATTTAATGAAATTGGTTTATGGCATATTTCAGGTGAAAACTTGATATTTTTCTAATAATGAAATTTATCTTTACACAAATTTTGTTCTAGAAATCACCAAAAAATAATGACGAAAATGACAAGAAAATAAAAGATAACCTAGATGATAGTTCTGTTGATGAAGAGGAATTAGGAGGATTATTCAAAATAAGTGAACTAAATCAAAAAAATTATCGACAAGCTAAAGATATGAGGAACAAAGAAGAAAATTCCTTTTTTGAAAAAATTTCAGGTTTTCATTGTTTTGATTTTAATCAAGTACAAAAAAAAATACACAAAGAACAAAATTTCAGAATCAACGCGGAATTGGTTAAGTGATGATAACAAAACAATAGTAAAAAATTGTTTCGTAACTGGAAAGTGGAAATCCTCGGAAGATGCCGAAGAGTTGCTCAGATTGGATGAAATGAGTGATGCTGAAAGCGAATGTTATGGTGATTTTGAGGACTTGGAAACAGGCAAAAAATTTAGTGGTTTAGATAAAGATATGGAATTAAAAAACCCGGTTCCAAATCTGGAAAGTGGGAGTAACACAGAAGCTCAGAAACAAAAGATGTCAAGAATTGAAGAGAATAATTTGACTAAAGCTGAAATTATGGCTAAAAAATTGAAACTTAAAGCAAAATTCGATGCCGAATATGACAATAAAGGTTTAAAAGATGAAGGACGTATAACGGGTGATCATCAATATTATGATAGTCTCAAAATTCAGGCACAAGCACAATCAGAGCTGAATAAGAAAGAATTTGCAGAGCTAAATGATGATGTAAGATGTCAGATAGAAGGATACCGCCCGGGGATGTATGTTCGAATGAAGTTTGCCAATGTATCTTCTGAGTTTATCGAAAATTTTGATTCAAGTTACCCGATTTTGATAGGCGCTTTAAATATGTCAGAGGAAAATATTGGATATGTTAATTGCAAAATAAAAAAACACAGATGGTATAAAAAAACTCTAAAGACGGCTGACCCATTGATTATTTCTCTAGGTTGGAGACGTTTTCAGACTATACCTATATATGCAAAAGTTGAGGATAATTTCAAACATCGATATTTAAAATATACCCCAAACCATGTTACTTGTAGTATGACATTTTGGGGACCAATCACCCCTCAAAATACAGGTTTCTTAGCTTTGCAAAGCGTGCAATATAAAAGCGAGGAAATAAAGAAACTAGGTTTCCGCATTGCTGCTACAGGTAAGAATTATTTTAGTTGATTTAAGAATCTAAATTTAATTTTCGCTTCCAATTAGGTTGCGTAACGGAAACGGATAAAGCTACTCAAATTCAAAAGAAACTTAAATTAATTGGGGAGCCGTTCAAAATTTATAAAAAGACGGCTTTTATTAAAGGCATGTTTACTACAAGATTAGAAGTAGCCAAATTTGAAGGAGCCAAGATCAAAACAGTATCCGGAATACGTGGGCAAATCAAGAAATCGCATCATGACCCCGAAGGATCATTCCGTGCTACATTCGAAGATAAAATTTTGCTTAGTGATATAGTTTTTTGTAGAACATGGTTTAAAGTTGAAGTACCAAAGTTTTACACTCCTGTTACATCATTATTACTGCCACAAGATCAGAAAAATCAATGGGAGGGCTTAAAAACTTTGGGACAAATTAAGCGCGAAAAAAATATTCGTTATGAAGCTAACGAAGATAGTTTGTATACAAATATCGAGCGAGCAGAAAAAATATTTAAACCTTTGAAAATTCCAAAATCGTTGCAAATAGCTCTGCCTTATGAGGATAAACCGAAAACAGGGCTTCTAATGAAAAATAAGAAAGAGGAACGGGTTGCAGTAATCAGATCGCCTTATGAGCAAAAAGTTTCGAAACTTATGAAAATGCTAGAAACAAATTACGCAGAGAAAAATCGAAAGTTGCAACAGCAAACAGAACAACGGTTAGCTGAATTTAAAAAAAGAAAAACTATTGAAGAAAAAAGTAAACTTAAGCGGCAAAAGGATTTGAGGAAAAAAATTTCTAGAGCTCTTAGTAAAATGAATAAAAAGAAGCAGTGATTGAATAAAAAAAATTTATAAGTTTTAATTTTAAAGAAATTTTGTTAAAATACATAATTAATTTAAAGGTACTAAAAGTAATTATTAAAAAAATAACATTTTTTCTCGAAAACAGTATTTATGGCCTATGAAAATTGTGTTCCCACATTTAAAGAAAGGGAAATCTACACAGGTAACTAAATTATAATGGCGGGGCAGATAAAAAAAAAACTCTTCAAAATCGGGGTCGCTTTTTGGCCTATTATTTATTTCAAATGCAAACGGAAATTGACAATAAGGAGCTAAGGCTCAGATGTTAAAAATATCGAAATAATTTTCGGTATTATTTTACTAAGGAGAGATTCTCAGGGTTCAATTATCGAGTCAAAATCGATTTTATCCATCAAATTAGTCGATAACGGCTATTAAGGATTCCTATCAAAGTGATAGAATCTTAAGAATGAATGATTGAGTCGACTTTGAAAGTCATACATTGTAATGGTATTTATTCTCGGCATTTTGTGCAATCGTGTTCCTTAACAGCATAACATTTTTGAATCGGCTTTTTATTACAGAAAAGTCGATTTAATTGCAGACTTGCTTGTATAATAGAGCGCTCTTTTTGTCAGAAAACGTTTTAGAGTAATTTACGTATCACTAGAGACTTACAAACTTTTCAGTGGTGTCGAAAAACTCACAATTATAGTAAACATAATAGATATTGCCAAATGTACAGATTTATATATGTTCAAAACAGATACGTATACACATATTATATTTGAAATTTTAATTTTTTTATTTTTTTGTTAAACAAATTCATCAAAAATAAAATGGAGTATTTATTTGAATCGCGGAATTTAAGTAGAATCTTTGCTTCCATTCTCATCTATGGCTTTTAAAGCTGCCAAAAGTTTGTTTTTTTTTTTAGAGTCAACGTTATTGGATTTCTTTAAATCATGATTTATATAGTTTAAAGCATCTGAAGAGGAATCGCGGCAAAATGTGTCCAAAAATTTTTCTCTATCTTCATAATCATCCATAATTTGTTTTTTAATGTCTGTTAAATCTTTATTTCCCTTTGAAACATAGTTTGACGTATCAATCTATTGTAAAAACAGGAAAAATATTCAATAACATTAATTGCAAAATTTTTAAATCTAAAAAGTCAGTATAATATTATATAGTTAAAATATTACATCAGCTTCTTCATTGTAATCAGCATCACCATATCCGTTATAGATTAAATCGTCCTCATTGTTTTCATCATTTTCAAATGAATTTTTATAATCATATTCCTTGTAGTTATCATTTTCATATTCGTCATTAATTTCGTTTTGTAGATCTGATGCATCGTCTCTCCATCTTGAATATTCTTTTGCGTTCAATTTTGAACTTATTACAGAAACATCATCATATTCACTTTTTAACGATTCTATATTCATTTCAAAAGCATTTTCAATAGTTTTCCGTTTAATTTGCTTATCGTTACAAGGTTTTTTTCTATCAAGGCTAGATTTCCTACGCATTGTTATTGGTGATGGAGTGCTAATTTCAGTATCCCTCTCCGATCGAGGACTGAGAGATCTATTTCTTTGTTTATGAATATTAGTTTTGCAGTTAGGTTTTTCTTTTATACTTTCATTTGTTGTTTTTTTACTTCCCATTTTATTAAGTGTAAAATTATGTTCATCGAGAATTTCGTTAATAACCGGAGCTCCTAATAAATTTTCTTTAAAATCAAATTATCGAAAAATGTTTATACAATCGTAAATGAGCGAAAAATTAATTTGAAATTAATAAATTATCAGGATATTTTTATATGTAGGTAAATTTTTATCATATACATAGATGTAAGTATGTTATTTTTTTTGTGTATGATAAATAAATTACTTAAAAAATATGTTTTTCAAATTGTTTTTAAATGTTTTTTCATATTGAACTTACTGTCATTATTTTTGTAATCCATTATTCTTTCCTTGCTCTTGATAGGTTTAGGTAAAATAGATACTTTCGCTAATTTGTCTGCAATCTGAAAGATACCTTGTTGAACAAATAAATGATATTATTTTTTTTTAAAGATTTACCCCGAGTGGGTCAAGTTTTGTTAGACCTGTAAGTTCGGTTTTCGTTTTTTCTAAACGCGTTAACAGATCTTTATATTTTGAATGCTCAGATTGCAATTGATTCTTAAAACTTTTTTTTTCTAGTTGCAATTTTCGTGCCATTAATTTCATCTCATTTTCCTTTTCATTGAGTTTTTGTTCTAAATAATTAAGCCTTTCGGTTAAACGTTCACGTTCCTCTAAATTTCTTAATAATAAAATCAGTCAAATTATGTCAATGTATTTTAGAAAAGACAAAATTGTTTAAATAATGTTTAATTAAAAATTAATAACTTTCATCACTTATTACTTATATTTTCTAATGAATCAAAAAATTTTATAAATTTAATTTAAAATTTACATACATAAATAAACGAAGATCTTGTTGACTTTTCAAAATTTTTAAAAATTTATAAAGGATAGAAATTGGATTATTTGAATTTTTTTATTAACGAATTTTCCAGAATCCCCCGTTTCAACGATAATAACGTACATTGTATTAAAACATTTTAAAATGCAATATGATCAATATAAAAATAATTTTTTGAAATAATTCAATACTTGAAAATTGTGTAAATATTATTGATTGTAAAATAAAACGATGGAATGTTTTTACTTTAGTAGAAATAATGTTTTTTCAATTACTATATTATTGTCTACATTAACGTCTGAAAACGTTTATTTATGTTTGTACAAGTTAAGTAGTACTTACTTGTCGTTATTTAATTGGGTTAAATGTTTATTTTGGTCGCTTAAATTTAATAAGATGTCGTCCTTTTGTTTCAATCTCATAGCTAATTCTTTATTTTGATTTTGCAAATTTTTATATTTCTTTTGCCACACTCTTATTTCTTCAGCATGTGAATGCAATAATTGCGGAAGTTCAGCATTGGTATTCTCATATTTAGAAAGAGCATTCGCTTGTCTCTTGTCTAAGGTACGTAATATTCGGTTTTCTTGAGCAAGTTCCTAAAAAAAAGAAGTTCAAAGCAACAAAGTATGTAGTTATAACAAAATGGAGAGTTAACCGCTATATGAAGTTGAGCATCAGCTAATTGATTTTGTAGGGTCTTCAATCTCAATCTTTTGGCTGAAAGAACTCGTTGCCTAACCTCACCTGAACGAGAACCCACGTTCCCATTTAGTATACCAGCTGTTTTCCTCATGTGGAAATTTGATGGTCTAGCATAAGCTGCACTAGCCGAACATTTAGAACTTGTAGTGGAATAAATACTTTCAGTGCTTTTGGAGCAATTGCTGGAAAATTCGATTGCATAATTATAACGCTATCTTAGTTTTGTGAAATACTTACGGCTGCATATTTTTATTTTAAAAAATATTTTAATTAAAATATATTTGCAAACACCTAATATACAAATAAATTGGCATACATTTGCATGTATATAAAATTTTTATTTAAATATTGCTTAATAAATTTATTAATTATTACTTAATTCAATATTTAATATACATATACTTATGTCCTATGTATATACGTTTAAATTATATTACACCAGTTTGTTTACTGCAACGGAATATGTATCCAAGGTGATTTATAAAATACATTGTCGGTAAATTAAATGTGATCGATATCACCATTTTATGTGATAAGCGTATTTATAAGCTTTTTGTATAGGAATATTAATGTGCCAAATCTTACTCGTTGGCAAATTTGGGTTAATTTCAACATTTAAAATTGCAGCTTTTCAGTTAAAGGTTAACAGGTTAACAGAAATGTATGCGTACATTCACACATCTACAATTTTACATATTAGACCACAGCGATTTTTTTTTTAATTTTTATAGGTAGACAACGTTCTTTTACTTCCTTCTGTTTAAATTTGCAGTTTTACGAGGTGGTTTCTGAGTCCGTGATCTGATAATCTATTAACGCAAAGACAAAAGTTTTTAATTGTGATGAAAAATGCATTAATAATAATGTCAAACTAAATTGCACATAGTATGCGTGGCATGTGGTTTTAAAAAAAAATGCATAAATAGCACCGAACTCGAAGTTAATTTAAATATCTACATATGTATATAAAGCATAATATTAGCAGCAGATATTATACATTAAGATGGTTTTTATTTTAATTTTCATTGAAAAAGAGGAGTTTTATTTCTGTTTCAAATTTCATTCATAATATGTAATACTTATTTAAGGTTTCAGTAATATCAAATTTCCACACGAACAAGATTTCATATTTTCATATGAGCAATGAATGTATTCCGCATGAGCAAGATATGTAGGATATAAGTCATTATTTCCTAGTACTTCTCGTCACAGCAGTGACAAAAAGCATTCTCCATATAGTATCTTCTTGCCGTTTCCGTCAACCAAAAAATTTGCTGTCGAAATCTTTATTTTAGTGCTAATATCCTCCCTTCGGGAAGACAATAGATTTCATTTGCTAATTGAAGTTTAGTTTTGGCCACAACTTCTTTTGTAATAGTACGCAGCAGGGACTTGGAGGTGCTTGGGAGCATGCTCAGGTTCTCCTTTTCTAGTAGTATCTGGGGAGTTGTTCCATGTCTTGTAAGCTCCACCGCCTTACAGTGCTAGAACTCCGCATCCCGTAGCCATTAGTCGACACAGTATATCTAATGGCTTAAAATGGAAGACAATCTGAAGAGCCTACAATACATGCTATTGCCATTCTTTTATTTATTGGTATGATTACTACATATTTAATAAGAATAGCAAGTATGTATATAATAAGGAAAAAGTAATTTTACTGCAGACCCCCAGATCATCAGGACCAAATTTGGTCTCTGGTTCCACCTATTTCCAATGGCTTTTTTACACGAGTAAAACGCATTATTTTCCTTAAGCTTTTCATAATGTTGGATTTCCATATTATTCTCATCAAACTGAATGTAAGAGTTTTCTTAAAAGTAATATGGCAACAATTACTTTTTTTTGAAAATTTTAACAACTGTCAGCTTATTCTTATTTTGGCAGAATTATTAAAATTTGACGTTAAGTTTGAGCGCTATACGATAAATATACAGTCATCAGGCTTCATCCTATTTAATTTTAATTTGGTAGTATATGTAAACATACCTTATTTGCCTTTAGACAAAGCTTAATGTTAAACAGTGTTCACATATAGATGACGGTCTTTTTGAAGCAGCACGAGCTAAGCTACTTTGAAATCCTTATCCTTATCAAATATTTGACACAATAAATTTTGAATTTTCTATATTATATATTAAAATTAGGTTCCTGTTGGCTTAAACTCCTGTTAAATACCATTTATAAACTACACCAAATCATTTCTTAATACATTCTTAACGTTCTTGTTTATTCGAGGTTTAATTTTCAATTAATATCTTTGTCAGTATAAATAATGAAGAAACACAGATATTAAAGTGACATTTTCAGGCGTCTGACTTTCATAGAGAAGTGACGTTTCGAAAGCATGAGTGTTTTTGACATTAGATAGTTGAAGGTGAAGTGTTGGAGAAATTGTCGCGGTTTTTTGCTTGCTGTTTTCGGCAAAATAAATTAAGAAAAAATTTTTGTGAAGTGAATTTAATTTTAAAGTAGTTTATATACGTATATTGTGATTAAGAATGGATAATCGGAAATTAATTGAGCTACTTAGCTCAATTAGTGCACAATTAATTGTTCCGGAAGAACGGAAACAAGCCGAAGAGCTACTATCTCAGGTTAGTGGACAAATTTGTGAAGGGGAAATATGGCTGTTAGTGGAATATGCCGCGTGCCAACATGTGCTTTATTCGTCATTCTAGAACATACATTTGAAATATTTTCTTTGAAACCACAGTCTACTAAAATATATGTATTCCAATTATTGAAATGGTGGAGCACCATGATATTAACGAATTATTACTCATCTTATGCATATTTGGCGAATGCGTTATGACTAAAATTTTTGTGTGAAATATCAATGTAGAATTGAATATACTTAATTAGCTAAAGGAAATTAATAGAGAATTAACATGGATATAATATACATGTATCTATTTTCATATAGCACTATTGAATTTCTTAAAATGTACAAAATTTTTAAAATAAAATATATAAGAAAAGAAGTTATTTTCTATTTATAGCTTTTAAATCTATAAGCATAATTGCATATGTTTGCAATGTGAGAAAAAACTAATTTCACTTAAGTAATCTAAAAAAAAAGAAAAAAATATTTATAAAACGATATTTTCTTTGTAAACCTTGGAATATATCAAGTTTTAATAATCACGCAAGCTAAACAATTCAAGGTTAATAAATAATATTTAGATTTAGTTTGCATAAAAGAAAGTACTGAATTTCCACGTCGAGTAACTATTGAAATTAGAAATTAATTCTACATACACTCAACCTCTGTTATTAAATATAAAATTAGTGTATTAAAGTTTAAAAAATGTTAATGGTATTAATATTTGCTATTTGCAGCTTCACAAAATTATTGGTTTTGTGCCCACTCTATTGCAAATTGTTATGCAAAATGATTTGGACTTACCAGTTAGACAGGCTGGTGCTATATATCTAAAAAATTTAATAACTAAAAGTTGGCAAGATCGTGATGTAAAACCGGGGGAACCATTAATATATTCTATTCATGAACAAGATAGGGCAATGATTCGTTCAAGCATAGTTGATGCAATTGTAATGGCACCCGATATTGTTAAGTAAGATTGGACAAGTTTATTTTTATAATTACTTTGTCAGGTTTACATTTAATGTTATATTTATAGAGTTCAGTTGGCTGTTTGCGTCAATCATATAATTAAATCTGATTTCCCAGGAAGATGGACGCAAGTAGTGGATAAAATTAGTATATATTTGCAAAATCCAGATGTTAACGGTTGGAATGGAGCTTTGTTGACGTTATATCAATTAGTAAAATGTTATGAATATAAGCCACTTGAAGATCGTGCCCCATTAAACGAAGCAATGAATTTATTATTACCGATGATTTACAATTTAATGGTTAATCTATTAAATGATCCAAGTGATCAAAGTGTACTTTTACAAAAACAAATTCTAAAAATTTATTATGCCTTAACAAATTTCGCCCTTGCTTTGGATTTAATCACAAATGAAATGTTTTCACAATGGATGGAAGTTTGCCGACAAATTGTAGATAGACCTGTACCAGACTGTTCTCACGTAGATGAGGATGAAAGGCCCGAATTACCATGTTGGAAGGCGAAGAAATGGGCTTTGCATATAATGGATCGCATGTTCGAAAGGTAATTTTTATTATTATTAATTTATTATTAATTGGTTTGAAAAAAAATGATTTTTATATATTTAAGATATGGAAGCCCCAAAAATATCATAATAAAATATCAAAAATTCGCAGAATGGTATTTGCCAACTTTTACGTCAGGGGTTTTAGAAGTAATGTTGAAAGTTCTAGACCAGTATCGAAATAAAATATATGTTTCACCAAGAGTTTTAACTGGTATTTTGTCCTATTTAAAAACAGCGTAGGTTTTAATTTCTATTTTTCAAATTTTTGGTTCGCAATAAAATGTATTTTTTTTGTAGTGTGAGCCATGCCTATTCCTGGAAATTAATTAAACCGCATATGATCGCAATAATACAAGATGTTATTTTTCCCATTATGTCATTTACGGAAGCTGATGCTGAATTATGGGAAACCGATCCGCATGAATACATTCGTTTGAAATTCGGTGTGTTAAAATTTTTAATTTTGCTTAAATTGTTTGAAGTTTGGTTTGATTATAACTTTTAATTATTAACATGTTTTAGATATTTTTGAAGATTATGCCACACCTGTGCCATCTGCACAAAGTTTGTTACATTCTTGTTGTAAAACCAGAAAAGGAATACTGCCAAAAACAATGCAAATTATTATGCAGGTATTTTACTTCCAATACAAAATCTACACAAGTACTCAATAATTATTTTTACCTTTGTAGATAATCACCTCACCAAATGCTGATAATCGGCAAAAGGACGGTGCTCTTTATATGATTGGTACGTTAGCTGATGTTTTAATGAAGAAACGAGTTTATCGAGATCAACTAGAAGCAATGTTGACGACATACGTGTTTCCAGAGTTTAACAATCCTGAAGGCCATATGAGAGCAAGAGCTTGCTGGGTACTACATTATTTCAGTGATATTACATTTAAAAATCAACAAGTGTTGGTTGAAATTATGAGACTAACTGTAAATGCTTTATTAAATGACAAAGAGCTTCCAGTTCGTGTCGAAGCTGCTGTAGGGTTGCAAATGTTTTTGTCATCACAAGATAGTGCAGCACCAATGGTGGAACCTCAAATTCAAGAAATATCAAAAGAATTATTAAGAATCATACGTGAAACTGAAAACGAAGATTTAACAAATGTAATGCAAAAAATTGTATCAACATTTGCTGAACAACTTTTACCGATAGCAGTTGAAATATGCCAGCAACTGGCGTCAACATTTAGACAAGTGTTAGAATCTGATGGTGGGTCTGACGAGAAAGCAATTACTGCGATGGGTTTATTAAATACGATGGAAACTTTATTGACAGTAATGGAAGAGCATCCTGATATTATGACTAATTTACATCCAATAGTAATAAATGTAGTTGGGCATATATTCCAGCACAATATTACGGAATTTTATGAGGAGACATTTTCTCTAGTTTATGATTTGACCTCAAAATCGATTTCCCCTGAAATGTGGCAAATGTTGGAGTTGATATACCAAGTTTTCAAAAAAAATGGTGTCGATTATTTCATAGATATAATGCCAGCATTACATAACTATGTTACGGTTGACACACCAGCGTTTTTATCAAATCCAAACCGTTTATTAGCTATGTTTGATATGTGCAAAACGGTATCATTTAATAATGGTATAAAAAACTGTAGCAGTTTTATATTTGCTTTTTTTAGATGTTAGAACGCAACGTTGGAAAGGATGCTGACGAGCTGGAAGGGGAAGATCCAGAATGCCACGCAGCTAAGTTGCTTGAAGTTATAATTCTTCAATGTAGGGGACAAATAGATTCAGTTATACCCATGTTCGTTGATCTTGCACTTTCAAGATTAACAAGAACAGTTCAATCTTCAGAGCTTAGAGCAATGTGTTTACAAGTAAGAACTTACATAAACTTCTATCATAATTTTTAACATGCCAAAATTGTTCATTTTATATGATTTAAAAGGTTGTTATCGCAGCTTTATATTATAATCCTCAACATTTATTGTCAATATTAGAAAAAATGTCCCAACCAAATAACGGTCCTATAGCGTCACATTTTATTAAGCAATGGTTATATGATACAGATTGCTTTTTAGGGTAAAATATTTGCAGTACTTAATATTCTAATACATATGACTGAAATACTTTTGCTTTAGGATTCATGATAGAAAATTATGCGTATTAGGTTTATGTGCATTAATTTCATTAGGTGATGCTAAACCACCAGTTTTAAGTGAAGTAGCTGCAACAATTATGCCATCTTTGATTTTGTTATTTGATGGTTTAAATCGTGCATATCAAGCTCGTGCCCAAGAAGAAGAAGAAGAGGAAAGTGAAGATGAAGATGAAGATTGTGAAGGTAAGTTTTTAAAGAACGTTGCTTAATTCCCTCATAACAATAGAACATATATCTATTTTAACTTGTAGAAGCTCTTTCCAGCGATGAGGACGAAATTGATGAATTTGCTCCTGATTATTTAGAACAAGTAGGTGAATTAGCTAAAAAAGCTGGAATGGATATAAAAGCGGAAATAAAAGTAGCGTTTTTTTCTTTATGAAATATTCCTGCAATTTTACATTGAATTTAAGTAATTAAACATTATGTTTCTTAATATAGGCAGAAGATGAAGACGAAGATGATTCTGATGCAGGTGATGAAGAATCAGACTATGGACTGAATGAAACTCAATTGGAAACTTATACGACACCTATAGATGATGAAGAAGTAGATAATCCCATTGATGAATATATAGCTTTTAGAGATGTTTGTTTTAGTATGCATTGTTGTTATTTAATTTAACATTTATGGCTAATCAACTTATTTTATTTGAAATTTAGTGCTTTCCACTCAAGACCCTTCTTGGTATCAACTACTAATGAGTAGTTTAACGGAAGAGCAGGGTAAAACCATTCAGGAGATAATGGTCACAGCAGATCAGAAGAAAGCTCAGTATGAATCAAAACGTATCGAAAAAGCAGGAGGTTATGATTTTAAACAGCAAACTATACCAAGCTCCTTTAAATTTGGATCTTAATAAGGAATGATTGATTTTTACAATTTTATGATTTAAAACAAATTACATTTTTATGCATTCACATGTTAGTTATTATATTAAAAAAAAAAGGAAAAAAAACGATCGGAAAAAAGTGTACTCAAATTTTGCTCTTATATTCATTTAATAATTTTAAATTTTGTTCTCGTTTGAATGACTATTTAATATTTTGTAATTAAAATTTCAATAGTTAACTGTAAAGTTTTTTATTCTAATAGTCATTGAAATTGATTTTAAGCTTTCTTTTTTATCGTTAATTTATAAACACTTGAGTAGGTATAGAAAATTTTCAAAAAAAAAATTTTCGAGATAAAAATTATTTTTATGAAAATATACGCTAAAATATACATATATGTAAATAAAAGCAATTTATTCTTTATTTTATAGAATTCTTTGAATTATTCTAATTCATTTCAATTTTTATTAATGCTTTAGAAGATTTTAAGAAATCAATTGTATAAAAACTTGGTTCCGACGTATGGGTGAATACGTACAAATTTGAATTCAGAACGTATGCCCGGCTATTTTCAATTTAATTCAAAGGGCCAGTTGTTTTAGCGCTTTCATGACGTATAGCGTTAATAAGATCGTAATTAACAAGGAATACAAATCTAAGTCCCGCGATTTCAACGACACAATTAGTACTTAGTCGGGACTTATTTCCTTGCAACAGTGGCATGCCGTCAATATATATGGGTCTTTTTCCTTCATTAGAAATAAAGAAATCTCCATTACTACGCAATTTTATTGTTCCCTGTTTTCTTGAAACTTTATAAGCAGGGCCTTCCAGTGACAAATCAACATCTACACTAAAGTCTTTAGCGCTTCGTCCAAAAGTAATTTCCTTTGACCTCATTAAATATCTCACAAGTCTGCCTCTGAGAACTGCGAGAGTTTGGCTGTCAAATTCTGGAGTAAAGCCGACACCTGTCAAGGAATCTACCAAAACAGTCCATCTACTCAATTCGTTTTCTAAGTGACGAATTTCTCGCTTATTTCTTCGGTCTGCTAAGGCTAGCTCCATTTCCAAAGCTTCCTCTTTGTTTTCTGTTAATTCACTATCCTCTATCATATCTTCAGCATCCGAAAAGCTGATAGGTTGATCGTCATTAAAAAGAGGTTTAGTTGTTTGGTCGGGTAACAAATAATATTGTTTCATTAAGTGCCAATGGTTGTATAATGATTTTGGAGTTCGTGCAGAAAAAAAAATTGAAGGATTTTTATCCAAAAGGTCTTGAAATGATTCAACTGAAGGATTTTCTGTCTGAAAGTGCATTTAATATTTATTTTTAAAATTTACATATTTTTATATTACATACGTACATACATACGTATAACTTACACTTTTTATTGTACCCAAAATATTTTCTTCTTGAACTGTGAATAAGGCTTTGCTTTGAATGTTTTCTATCAATTCTGGGTGTAAATTCCTCATAGCAGAAATTGCTATTCTAGATATCGGTTCCTCATAAAGCAAAGAATACCATCTTTGCTGTAGTTCCTGCAATGTGAATTTGCAAGAAAATTTTGTGCCACGGTGTACCGTGCGCAGATCATTTGTCTGTTGTACACCAATTATAAGGGCTAAATCGTCTATTGGTTTCCAACGACCTAAATCTTTTGTTGTGATTTGGTGCGGACCTCGATTACCTTTCTTATTTTTTTTACTATTTGTACCACCACTTGGTTTACTTTTGTTTCTTTTATCAGTAATTATATTTACAGAGCTTGCTGCTACAGTAGAATGTGAATTGAATTGTTGATGAACTGGCATTGTATTAACTGTCGGTGAAGCAATATCTACCGGTAGAGAATTTGGTAAATTTATAGAATTTATTGTGTCAGAATTATTTAGCACTGTAGCCGAATTATTGAAGTTGTTTTGTGTGGAAGGTGAGGCAGTTGGAACGGGAGTTGTTTGTGTAGATGGAATATAGGATTGTGATTGGGTACGTGCTCTCCCTATTCGGCTGTACTGTGATGTGGAAGGTATCCCGAATTCCACAATTTCATCGTCAAATCTTTTACGTTTTATTGATCGAGATGAACTGAAATATATAAGTGCTTTCTAAATTACCTAATGTATACTTCAGCGAAAATTTCGTCAAAACTATATTTCTTTTTTTTACCTTCTCCTCTTTTGGTCTGTTATTTCCGAATTCAAATTTTGTAGTGTTTCATTGGTGTTAATTTTTTCAATCTTAGATGGCTGTAAATTTGTATCCATAGTTAAAAATCAAAATAATCCTTTATTTCAGTCTTTTTGAAAACTCAATATGTACATATTTTTATATTTCAATTTGACTTTTGAAGAGCATTGCCAATTTAAGTAATATTTAAAATATTTCAGCTTATTTCTTATATAGTGTTTCCACATATGTAGTACTAATTGTGTGGTTATTGGGATGAAATATCTGTTTGCATGACAAGTTTTATGATTGACTTACGTTTTATTTTTCTTTTCATGCAGCTTTAAGACAAGGCGAAAGAAACTAGCTTGAAAGAAAATTTTTCATTGAGCGAAAACAGTATTTAAAATAAGACTATTATACATACATATTAAATAAAATATATATACATGCATATTTAATAAACTTGTTTATTTTTTTTTTTTATTTTTTTAAATGGGAGTTGCAGCCTTAGATTTTCAAAGATAAAATAAATCAACTTTTGAAAAACAATTACCTTTCCAAGTTGCCAAATGTGTATAAAAAATAGTGCTATCTTTTGAATTAATTTATGTACCTAGTTTTTTTTTCGTTTAATTTTCTTTGTACATACATATGTATGTATGTATGTATGTATTATGTATTGTATTTTTAATGTATTATATTATTATAATTGTAACTTCGTAAATTCTAATTAATATTTAATTTTTAAAAAAATTCGTAAATTGTAATTAATTTTTTGTTAGTATCGCTCACAAACTAAAAGAGAAACTTGATAGTTCGTACACTTTTATACGTTAGTTTAGTGATTAGTGAATTGGCTTGTGTGGTTGAAATTGGGTTATATAAATAGTTTCGATTAACCCTTTGCGTGTACCACTTTTTTTTGAGTTAAATTCATAAAGCACAAAAATTAAGTAGACTAAATTCACTACAATTATATACAATAATAGTTTATAAAAAATAATATGCAAATACAAAAAGTTACACTTAATATAAAAAACAAAATTATGTGTTAATACTCGTATAAAACTAATATTTAACCTACAAATTATTTACATCGATTTTGCCGATATTCAACTTTTCATTTTTGATTTATCGATTGATCGAATAGAATTTTTAAGACAAACAGAGCGAATTTCTGTAGATATTTAAATTAACTCAAAAAATAAAGGGAAATAAAAACCAATATGAATGAAAAACGAGTGAAAATTTTATTGTTCTCAAATTAATATTAATTATTGCGTTTGCTTACTTTCTCTTGTTAGTCTAATAATTTTCTTTGTATTGTTTTTTCAATTTTGTTTTTGATTGGGTATAGAGAAAAAGAGTAAAAATTTTTCAGGGTGGAAAAATTAAAAATTTTTGTAATTCAGTGGAGTATTGGCCACCGTTTTATCCGTTTCGTTGGGAAAATTTATCGTTTTACGGTAAAAAAAAAGAATAACTAAAGTTTAAAACAGAATTTATTTTTTTTTTGTTCTAGACAAAAAAATTCTTTTTGTTTATTTTTTCGCAACAAAAAGTGAAAAGCTTTTATAAATTTTAGTTTTTTTGTTTCATTTTTGTGTAAAAAATAAAAATATAAAAATTAAAAAATGTTGTTATTTTTTTTATTTCAAGTAATTGTGAATTAAAAAAAAAAAGAAAATATAATTTTTTTTTGTTAGCTATTTTGAATTTTTTTTTATTTTTAAAATATTTGTTATTGCATATGCATATTTAAAACAAAAATTATATTGTATAAAGCAAATTATGTACATATGTATGTAAATTTTTCAAAAATTTTAAATTTATAGCTACACGAAAAAATAAAAAAAATTAAAAAAAAAACAAAGTATTTTACGTATTCAATTCATTTTCTTTTCACATTCTGTTATTATTATTTCCATATATTTATTCATTTCCACTTACATATATTTAATAAAGTATATAGTGGTGCAGTGATAAGCTTACTTAACTTGGATAAGTGAGGTCATATATGTAGTTTTCGAATCTCATCAAGGCCAAAAAAAAAATTAAATATCAGGTATAGCCTTTAAAATATTTCAATAAATTAATGCAAAAAAGGATAAAAATTTTTATTCTTGTTAAATATAAAAAAATTCATATATTAAAGAATTTAAAATGATAATATTTATAAGTATATTTCTTAATATATATAAATGTATATATTTTTAAAAAATATTATATGTATAAATATACAGTATCTACTTACATATATGTATATGCACTATTTATATGTATACATACAAGTATATTATAACACTTACAATACATTATTGCATTCATCTAGAAAAATTTGATTACAACGTCATTAGGCATAATTTATATTATACTGTATGGGGCGAGTTTTTCAAATTATTTAAAATTGAAATATTATTTAAAATATATAATATTAAGTGTAATATTTATGTGTATTAAATACTATATTTTAATATTTTATATAGTATAGCCTTATGTATTTACATACAATTTTTTAAATATAGTTTTCTCTTAAAACTCCAAATAATTTTAAAATAGTTAAAATACAAAAAAAAAACCTTTTTGCTTATCGAAATTTATGTGTATGTATCTAGATATATAATATGTCAGTGCATACTCGTGTAAGTACATATTATGTATATATACATATAATTAAAATATAAATATATTTATATAGTTGTTGAAGAAAAATAAAAATTATCTTATAATATACAATGTTCTTTTCGATTAGTTCTTGAAATACTAAGAGACAAAAAGAAAAAACCAAAAAAATGAAAAAATAAAAAAAAAATTTGAAAACAAAAAATTGCAAATTTTTTTTTATTTGTTAAATACAATGGCAATTACTCTTTTCATTTCAAAGAAAATAATTAAAAGAAAAATTTGTTTTTTATAATTTTTTTTAAAGTTTGTTCTTCTTTTTTTGAATTTTCATACATAATCCATTTTATTTAAAATAGAATAAAATTTTAGTTACATATTTAGTATAATATCTCTAGCAGCTAGTTTAAACAACAAAATTCAAAAGTGTCGAAGAAAATGCTCGTACATATACATATATACGGATTATCTTATCGTTCAGAAAAACGCATAAAATTTATGCAGAACTGAATTCATAAAGTAAAAAAAAAAACAATAAAAAAATATTAAAAAGGAAAAAAAATTTTCCGTTTTCAAAAAAAAAAAATGTATTATTAAATGAAAATTTAAGGATACAAAAATTTCTTTTCGGTTTTCGTTTAACTTTTTTTTTCTATTTTTCCACTCAACTTTATTCTCTCAATTTTCGCTTTTGTCTTATTATTGGTATAGTGTTACCTTATGAAAATTTCAATACTGTTGCTGTTCATGTATAATTTTGTTTTGTAAATAATTTTTACAAAATTTTTTTAAAATTTTTTTACTGATTTGACTCAATTTTTCAATAATTTTTTTGCTATTTAAAATTTTAAACTCTTTTCAAAAATTTTGTAACTGTTTAATTATTTTTATAAATGATATCGTAAAATTCCTTTAAATTAAAATTTTCATTCTTCGTGCTAGTTTGGCAGCACTTGTAAAAGTTGTAAAGTAAACGAAACGTTTTTGCCTTTTTTTTTTGAGAGAAAGAGATTAAATAGGAAGGATGTTGAAAAAAATTTCAGCTCAAAAATTTATCATTGCCTTTCTCAATTTCCATTTTTTGGAGAAATTTTTGAGTGGAAATTTTTCAATTAAATCGCGAAGAAGTTTTTTTTTAATTTTTTTTTTGTCTTAAATTTTTTTTTTTTTTACATATTATGATATTATGAAAATTTTGTTTTAGTTTATCCATAGTATGTTCGTAGTATACTCATGTATACTACGTAATATATGTACACGTAATCATTAACTTTACTAAATTATAAAAGTGGTAGAATTTTCTTTTGATGCACAAGGTTATATAGGTACATTTGTATGTGGTGGGGTCTGTCTGATGATATTTCAAACCAATATTTTATTAGAATAATAAAAAATTCAATTATAAGTAATTTTTTTAAAGAGTTCCCTAGAAATAATTATAATGAAGATGATTTTGCATAGTAAATATAAGTTATATATAAATTAATTAAGTTATAAGTTATATATAAATTAAGAGTGCGTTATTGTTCAATGAAATTGAAAAATTTTTTTAATTTTTAATCTTTTAGGAGTAAAAATTTTTTCTTAAAAAAAGAGTACTTTTTTGAACTTTTTTTGGAAAACATAGCATGTATGTGTATGTACGTTTTATTATCTATAAATTATACAATTGTTGTTCTCAAAAATATGAAGAAACATGCCAAAAAAAATAATAATAACATACTTATAGGAGTTACTTTATGCTTGTACATATATACATATTAATTATATTTTAATAAGTATATATACTTTAATAATTCATTTTAACTAGAGTGAGTATTTTAGCAAAAAAAAAAGGGAGCCAAAGATCGGAAAAAAAAACTAAATTATAAATTAACTTTTATTTACATTTACATTGCATATAAAAGTACCCTCCCTTTACATATACGTATATATATAATATACATATGTATATATACATATAATATGTATAAGTTGTGTAATATGAGTTATATATATGTATATGTATATGTATGAATTTCCATATTATATTAACAATAAAGTTTTCAGAAGTTATAAGGGAATATAAAATACCCTTGCGTATAATTATTTTCTTTTGCCTATTAAAAATGAAAAAAAAAATGAAAAAAAAAAAAAATACGTTTTAAAATAGACAAAATGTATATATTTAAATCTATTGCATATACATAGTCAAAAATTTTAGTTTTATATATAAACCGTTGTAATAGTAATAATTGTGAAGGGCGAATCAATATATTATGTAGTTTATGAAGTATTTTTTACTTTTAGAAATTCTTTATGAAATTTATATTAAGTTTTCAATTCATAAAGGGAATTCATAGGATTCACATTTTCAAAATTCAAGAACAAAAAAAAATAAAAAAAATGAAAAACAGATATGAAAAACAAAATAAAATGAGATGTGAAACAATTTTACTGTTATATTTGTCTACATATGTATATAACTAACTAAAATGTTTCTTTTGAAAAAATATGGATTACATGTTAATTTAGAGAATCTATAATAACACTAAAAGTATAACACTACAGATGTACATATGTACAACATTCTCAAGTTTAACCAGTTATATGAAAAAACAATCAGGAGGAGTAGTTACGAATTCCAATTTATGGCTTCCTATTTTAAAATAAAAAAAAGACTGCCAAATACAAAATATTAATAAAAACATTTAAATTTGTTAAATATTTTTTAATTATAACAAATTTGAAAAACTACTTGATCTAAACCTTGATTGAAGTGCATGTCAAAGTATTTTATATACCTTCATATTATGTACGAATACTTAAAATTATGCTGTTATACCATTTGTTATTTGAAAATTTTGATGTGGATTGAAATTTTGAAATTATTTAAATCCAAGTAAATATATAACTAGTATATAGTACAAGCATAAATGTACGAATACAAAATAAATGATGTACACTTTTATATGTTAATATGGTTTTAAAAAAAATTGTTCATATGTTATTCATATCTTATAATTGCCATTACTTAGCCCTTGACTAACCCTCTCATTATTATTTTTTGTCAGTTTGATTTTTTTGATGTGTACAAATTACATGATATTACTGCACTTTATATTTGTATTATACTATATATTAGTATTTTAATTTGAAATAAAAATTTATTTTAAAAAATAATAATAAAGTTAATAAAATTTTAATAAAAATATGCGAGGCAAAAATATTACATAAAAATATTATTTTTTTTTAATTACATAGAAACAACTCCGCACTCTTAGACTTGTTTCCTTTTCTTTTTTTTTTACTAGTTCTTAAATCACTTATACGTTTATGCCTCATTCCCACAAATTAAATTTTTAGTTATATTGTTATGAAATTTTTTTCTTCTTTAAATTCAAAATTTTTTTTATTTTTTTTTAATTTTAATTAAATTGCTATAAACCAATAAGTATGAAGATAGAAATGTCACTTTGGCAACACGAATATTTTGAAAAAAGATAAAAATTTTTTTTTTTTTTAATTTTCACCTTTAATAAAGCTAACACATAACTTATACATTAAATTGTTAACCAGAAAAAAGATACCTATAAGTATGCAATATTAACTTTTTAGAATAAAATCTAATATAATTTATTTCAAATATTATTATAGCAGTTTAAGCATATAAATCAATACAGTTTAAGCATATTTTTAATATTTAAATACATTTTCTATATAATAATATTATAATAAACTAAATTTACCAATATATACTAATAATATATATAGATTACGTTATTATTAATATTTACACTTGTGCATTTATTTAAGTTAATTGGATTCAAATGCATAAAATCTACTTTCAATTATCTTTCCTAAAACATACATAAATAATACCCATACATTATTTTTCTCCTTGTTGTTTCCTAATTTAATAATATTATGTAGAAAAAGTAATTTACTTATATTTTTATTATAACAACTGTTCAGATATATAAGTATGACCTTTGTTTTTTTTTGTGTGTTTTGAATTCAATATTTTTTTTCATACTTTAAATATTTGACTTGAAAAACAGGTGGTAATATTTCTTAAACTTAATAATGTTTATTTATTTTTCATTGAATGCATGTTTTTTTAATACAATATATATACCTATCAGCATTAACATATTATACACGCGTTAACTTACGTTGAATATTATATTCAGTACACAAAGAAAAAAAAACCAAGTACTAAAAAGGATAAAATACAATTGATGGAATGGGTAATGGCATGACAACGTTATTGATTTCTATATATATGTACATATAAATATTATTATGTTATTACTTAGAATAAAATAATATATTGCGCTATTTACTTTTTTTTATATTTTTTTTTGTAATATAATGAATATTATTGAACAAAAATAATTTTAACAAAAAGCCTATTTTAATATTTAAATAGTCAATTATATTATAAAACAAAAAAATTAAAGGCAGCTTAAGAAGATGAATAGAAGAGAACTTAATTTTGATTTCGCCATTGAATATAAAAATTTTAATTTAAAAAATATTGAGAGCAAATTTTTTAATTTTTATATTAGAAATATAATTCCTGACTTCAAAATTGTAGTAATACAATAGTAGTAGATAATGCAACTTATAATCTCTAATTGTTAAATTTTGTAGTAATGCAGTATTACTGTAATTTTGAAGTTACTATACTGTGAGAAAGTATACTATAGTTTGTTTACATTTTCTATAGAACTGATAAAAATTTAATATTTTAATTAACTTTTTATATAAAAAATGCTGCACCACTTTATGGACATTTAGGTTTAACATTTTTTGCTAAAATCTCATATATATGTATGTATTAAATTATTTTATCATATTTTTAAATGGTAATATGATATAATATAAGTAAAAAGTGCATATAATTATTAACACCATTTTATTAATATACATAATGAGTAAGAGGAATTTTGCCGGATTTTATTTTACATGTTCATTTCTTCGTATTCAAATTCCAATTCTCGAACAAAAAAAATTCAAGTAAAAGAAAAAAAAAAGTTATTATTGCTGTTATAAAAACTATATTGGGATATAATATTTCTTTTTTACCAGAATTATATTCATTTTAAATATTATTTTAATAATAGAATTTATGATATTTCAATATTGATTTATAGATTAAGAATTTATTTTGTTTAGATGATTTTCATTGTGCAAATATATATACATATGTATAACAAAATTGTATGTATTTAATAATCATTAATCTAAATATATTTATAAAAATATGTTTATATAAATATGTATATGTATAATATTTATTTTACATTGTAAAAGAAAAACGCACAATCTTTCATGTATAAATAAGCGCGAATAGAAAAATATTAAGTTTATATACATATATTTTTTTTTTATTTTAATTAATTATGTAAGAAAAATATTTTCAAAAATTGTAAAGTTGCCTTAATTTTTATATAAGAAAAAAAATTATTAGAAATAATTAAATTTGTTTTGAAATATTTTTTTCAGTATATTTAATGATTCTAGCCGAAATATACCTGTTAAAATCATTTGAATTTTCTTATACTTTTATTTTTGTTATACAAAATATCAGTGTAATGTTGCACATATTTTTAAAAGTTAACAAATTTTTGTTCTTTTTTTTTGCTTAAGTTTCATTTTTAAGATTTGTTTTTCTTTAAGTACTTATACTCGTAATTTTTGTACAAGCAAGTTTTTCTTTTTATATACAATATGTTGTAGATTATGTAAAATATTCATTTATAATAATTATATAATATTATAAATAATTATTTTATATTTTATTTAGTCTACTATTTGTTTAGTACTTATATGTAAAATAATAAAATCATATATTTAATTTTAGATATGTACGCAAAATTTAAAGAAAAATGTTTAAAATTAATAAAAATATAAATAACGTGAAAAATAAATAAGTATAAATATAATTAAAGTGCACTTTTAAAATGTAATTCAAAAGTTATAAAATAAATTAAAAAACAAATGAACAGGAATAGAAATTAACTAAAAAATATAAAAATCATAATATACTAGTATATTATACATACATATATGCATAACGATATAATAAATATTAAAAATAACCATATAATAAAAAAATACAAAAATAAATCATAGATTTAAAAAAGTCAAAAAAGTTTTAATTGAATAAATACCCTAAATAGTGATTATTGTATATAAAATAATAAATTTATAATATAACTAATTATGTATATTCAATTTTATTAATTTCGTGCTGTACATGTATAAAAAAAACATATTGTATAATAATTTTTATAAATTATACAATTACTATATTAACCCTAAACCGCAAATCATACAAAATATCAAAAAGTAAAAAAAAATAAAAATAATAAATAGTGTAAAAATATTAAAAAATGTTATACTAATTGTAATAATAAGTCATAAAAGAAGAAAAGTGCATATTAAAACATAAATTATGAAATTTTTATTTAAAAAAGACTAGAAAATACGAGTATATATCATTTTTACTATATATAAAATAAATAAAATAATAAAATATTTTGTTTCTATGTATGTATATGTACGTATAGCAACCTCTATTTATAACTAAATTACAAAAATAATTTATGAATTTGAAAAAAAAAAATATTCGTTTATTATTGTAATAATAAAATTATCGTCGTCATTTCATTTTTGCTTTTTGGGGATTTTTGAAATTGTTATCAGTGGTAAGCATATTTTAATTATAAAATTTTATTAAAAATATTTTTTTTATACTATATTTTAGATTTAGTCAATAATTTTAAATATAACTTATTAATGGTTACAAAAGTTTTAGTGCAAAAAAAGTGGTAATTTTATAAAAATATTTTTGAGGTACCAAATAAAATATAATTCCCAAAATTTTAAATAGAAAGAGAAATTTTTCCCCAATTTGGTATGGTGGTAAATTACATAACTTTAACGCTTTCAAATATTATCCTTAAAAAATTCTAATTCGTGTGTAATTAGTGAAATTTTGTCATATCTGAGTTTTCGCCATTTGGTATATATAAAACGAATTCCACAACAAATAATATTTGCTATAGTTGTTTTCAAACAGGTAAATTGCATAACGAACCGCGACATATACTATACAAGCTCATGAAAAATATTAAATCAAATGCTATTTGTTAAGTTTGATATTTTTAAGAAGCATTAGCGTTTTTTTTTCTTCTTCAAAATTTTAGTTAATTTAATACTTTAAAAATTATGATACGCGGGTACATATACACATATATATACATAACTTTACATACAGTATATATGTATGTCATACATGTTGTGGGTGTTTTTTCAAGTATTATTACTTTTTGTTTGAATCGATTTCGAATATTTCATTTCAGAATTTGAGGTTTTCTTGTTTCATAAAGAATATTATATAAATGTACTTATAGTTTGTTTTTTATTTTTCTGTACAAGGTAACAAAACGAAAAAATATAGTATTTTTTTCCTGCAATTTTTCTTTTTCCTAATAATTTGCTATCAAAAGAAAAACTTTTCCATTACTCATTTAGTATTGTATAAAAAATCTAGATACAATAATGTATATATGAACGTATAATATACATATACATGAACATATTCGATTATTATATTATTTAGATTTAGGTATACAATATATAATTGTAAAAAAAGCACCTATGTTAAAATATAATATTGAACAAAGACAAAGAAAATAAATGTAATAAAACTGGAAACAAATAAAGAAGTTTAAAAAATCACACAAGATAACATAAAAATACAAAGAAAGTAAGAAAAAATAAATAAAATGTTGTAGAAACAAAGTAGGTACATAATTAAGTAGCTTTTTGTCTTCAAAATGAAATCATATTTTTATCATAACGTTATATTGGTAGAATATTTATAGTGTGCTCATGTATTTTTATAGATATATGCATACATACTCAGTATATATTGATAAGAGGTTTATAAATATTCCTTAACTAAATCGTTTAGGCTCATTTGGGCAGCAAGATGGAGTGCTAAAGGCTCATGGTGTTGGAGCACTATAAGGTGTCAGAGATTTTTTTACCAAAAGCAAATAGGTGCTGAACGGACTTCTAGTATCTCTGGTCTGGATGGATTTTTGTTGGGATAGGTGATGTTGAGAAAGTTGTTTGTTTGTTAAAATAATTTGTTTACATAGCTCTATATATATAGTATATTTTAATATAGTAAAAACATATGGTCTAGAAAACTGAGTTATACCTGAGACAGTATAGTGTAAGATTATAGGACTGCAAAACTCTGACAGTATAATGTAAAAATATAAGACTCTAAGAATATAATAAATAGATTCTTATCTATTCTATAGCAAATATATTTTGTCAATAATAAAATAATATATTTTACAAAATTTATGAACAGAGTTTGCTTATTATATTCTTAATTTAAAGTAACTATTATTATTTCTGAAATATAATTTAATTGAAATGCGTTTCTCAAATGTTAGAACGCGTGTTAAAAGAAATTATAGATGGATCATTTATTATCAACGAGAATTTATTATATGTATGTACAATGCAAGTTCATATATAAAATGTTTGCATTTATATACATTCATACTTACTTATGTAAGAAATATAAAGAAATTTTAAGATAGAAATTTTACCATAGAAAACTTTTATACAAATATTTACCACGTTACAACAATTTACAGAACTTTTGAAATTGTATGATATACATGTATGAGGATTGAAAATATTATTGTAGAAAGACAAATTATTTCAATGTTTAATATTTTCATATATGCATGTATTTTATACATATGTGCATGTATGCTGATATATTTATAGTATGTATAATATTTCATCAATGACAAAATAAATAAAAGCAAAAAGAGGATACAAAAATAGAGCAACAAATAATGAAATACATATTTATATGTGTATGTTTATATACATATATGTCACTCGAGTATTATACATTTATCCTTATTTTTAAATTATTTATAAAGTATATAAAAAACATAATATATCATGAGTCATATAGTAAGAGGAACAACTAAATACGTGTCTTCATTATACAACTATAATAACCATATATGTATATTGAGAAAATCAAATGAATTGGATAAAGTTTTGACAACATTATATATTATATTTTTTCATTGTTATTATGTTGTTATTTTCACTATTATTTTTGTTATTACTGTCAATTTATTTTTTTCTTTATTGTAAGAAATATCTGTTCAAAAAATCAAAATTTTTTTGTTCTATGCGTTTCGCATTTTAAATGTTTTTCATAGCTTTGCATGTTATGCTTGTGTTTTATATATTCTGTGACAGGACACTAAAAAGATATTTAAAAGATTAGCAAATATAAAAGGCTTTGAATTTTAATTTTTTTAAAAGATATTATGTAAATACGTAGTCACTCATTTATTTGGAGAACTACAGAAAGGTACTCACCTATTTATTTGGATTCGTTGGAAAAATTTAAAAAACGATAACTAAGCCTAACTTCTGTGAATATTTTTGGAAAATTTGGTCATAAATTTTGTGGCGGTGTTTGATACGTCAAAAGAAATTCATAAACAGTGTTTACCGTTTAAATTCAGCGGGACTATAAATTATTCTTCATGTTTACTTTTGTTTCACATTCTATTTTAAGAGAGTTCAAGAATTTAAATAATATAAATAAGTTTTTACGATTAACTCAAGGAGAGGTCGAAATGAAGGGTGAGAGTGATGAAGCATTCTACATGAAGAATTCCAAGAGGGTGTCAAAATGTTGAAATAAAGAGTTTGTCATTGTACTATTAAATATGTCATAAAGAAAATTATAAACATGACTTTTGATGACTTTTCGAACAACTTATATTCGAATAATTTACCGTTGCATTATGGTATTCGTGTTTAAATGTATAGGCTCTTAATTTTATGTTTTTGTGTAAATTTTTATATCCTTTTAAATTTTTTTCTACTTACTAAAGTTTGTTAATTTCTTTACCACTCAAAAAATTGTTTTTTATTTATTCTTCTAACTCTTAGTTACTGTATTTTTCTCTTTGTGCTTCTTTTAATTTTTTTCTGATTTTCGCTTTTTATATATTAATACATTATCATGCTTTTATCTATTTGTTAATCATACACTTATGTACGGATGTATTTGTATAAATAAATTATATTTATTTATATATATATAGATCTGTGTGCAAGTAGATGTATAAATGTGTTTAAATAAGCTTATGAATTATTTTCTTTGAAAAAAGAAAAAGAAAACAAAAAGAAAAAAATTGCAAAAAGATTATTTTTTCCCACGTTTTTCCCTCTTTCATTTTCTTAATATTGTTGCTATATTATGAAAAATAAAAAAAAACTCAAAATCGCTTAATATTTTTATAATAAACGTAAGTATTTTGATTATAAGAGATGTATGGATCGAGAGAGAACGTGTGTTTAAAGAGGTGAAATGTTGAGCCACAAAAAAAAAACGAGTGAAAATCTGAACTATTTAAGAAAATATTTTTGGAATTTTTTTTAAAAAATTTAATATACATTTTGATTTTTTGTTGAAATTTTCATTATTATTGTTATTATGATTTTGTTTCTTTGTTTCTATTTTATAATAGTGTATTTCATATTGTGTCATTAAAATATTGGCTACATCGTAAAATATTCAAAAAAGAAATTTAATAAATTTAACTTTTTTTCTTTCAAAAATGTCCAAGATTTGAATAAGAGGGAAATTTCTTTTAATTTAATCTTTTTTTTCTTTATTATTTTTAAGATTTTCCAGTTTGTAAATATTTTTATATGTATACATTCCATTTGTTGGTTAATTCGGATTCTTCGAAGGAATACATAATATATAAAACATATGCGCATCTCAGTGTGTAATCCCATGAATCATATTTTATTTACGTCTATAGAACTATGAGGCTGTTGGGTTGGCTTTTTTTTCTTTCGGTTTTTCTTTCATATTTATATCATAAGTAATATTTTTTGTTTATAAAGAAGAAATGCTTTAAATATGTATGTTTATGAAAAATATCGTAAAATTTTAACAAAATATAAAAATAATTGAGAATTTTTAAATAAAACCGCAGTGTTCTGTAATGGTATCAAACTTTAGTTAAATTTATGTTTGCAGTCCTTACTAATGTATATATATTGGTTTTGTATATACTTCGAACTACACTTCAGTAGAACTAAAAAATTCACTTCGAACTACACTTCAGTAGAACGATAGTGGAAATTTATCAAAATTTCGGGCTTCCCATCAGACAAAATTCTGTTTTGATTGGATCCCATCAGATAAGTTGTGTTGTAAATCGATTAAATAAGCAATTAAAATTACGTTCCTTATTCTTGTTGAACTAAAATTTGCATTTGGGACAGAAATTTCTTTAAAAATTTTAACTTTCATTCTTACGAAGTACATTTATTTTCCTCGTTTTTATTCCCTGTTAGTACAATAAGACTTTTATTAAATTTTATGCGTACAAGTTTTTTTTTTCTTAACCGAGTTCAGGATATTTCATACTATAATTTTATTTACAAAAGTCTTAATATAAATTCAAAACTTATTTGAATATCTTATATACATTTTGCCTTATTTATACTATATTAACACTTCATTTGAAATTGTTGGAAAAATTTACGTTGAAAGCGTATAACAACCTCTTGTAAGATTTTAAAAATGTCTATGCACCCAAGTGCTTATTAAAATAGGAACGTTTAA